TTTTACATACAAAAATGCGGAATTTCAAACTCCTAAGGCTTCACAACTAGAATAGATATCAAAAATCTGGTCATACAAGTTAAAGTTTATCACTAGTACTACAATCTGTATGACCCGATTTTTTTTAACTTTTTTTGTTGAAAAGCCTTAGGCAATCGACTTTGCCTCATTTTTCGGTTACCTTTAAGAGCGGGCGCACCATAGCTCTTATATCTAAAATAATAATAATTACAATCAACACGCCTGTATAAATTAGTCAAACAAGCATAACCACACTGTTCAACAAATCCTCTCTTCTGGCTTTCTGTAAGGCACTCCCAGGATCTCAAAAATCTCCTCCTCAGAGTCTCCCGCCACCTTTGTCCCATCATTCAACTTCTGCCTTTGTGGGCCCCTTAAAATATCTTTAAACAAACCCCTCTGATTCAGCCCATAGCTCTTTTTACTCGCTAATAGCCTCATGGAACGATTGAAGATATCATTCCCCGTGAAATACAGCAGCGCTGCACCACGTTCATCCCACGGCACAACTAGCAAATCAATCCGTCTCCAAGTCGGAACATCTGGAAGCTTCGATGCCCCATGCCACTTCGATCCATCATCTCTCCCACGTGACATCGCAAGCCCACACATGGCAAAACCAATCTCAAACAGTCGCTCAACAAGCTCGTCGAGAAGCCCGCTGATCTCTTGGGCGTTGACACCGGGCTTTGTGATCATAATGTCAATGTCACCACAATCTTTGGAGCCGCGGCGGTAGCTACCCATGATTTGGAGCCGCAGCTGAGAGTCAAGATTGGCGGCCGTGGACATGACAATGTCCCCGTGTCTTTTGACTTCGTCGCGGGGAATGCGGGATGCGAAGTCCTGGTAATGGTCTATGCCGATCTTCTGGGAGGCAGTAAGACGCACGTTTTTGACGATGTCATCGAGCGTTTTGTAACCTGATTGGACCCACCGAGCGGCAATACTGGGGCTAAGGAGTGTTAATGACATGAATACACTTAGGCTAATGAGGTGTGTATGATAGTTGGGGGCTAGAAGATTTACATACCCAACACCGTAAACTCCTAGAAATAACTTTAACGCTACATCCCCGGGCTCTAGCTGTGCATATTCCAGCTTCCGTAACCGATCCGTTTCCACGATCTCCTCAATCTTCTTTGCTAGGCTTTCGCCAATCATTGGCAACCTAGTCCTCCAGATCAGCATACTTCACCTTAATCTTCATCATCGCATCCGTACCCACAGAATATAACTCACTTTCTCGCCTCAGCAGCCGTGCATATCTTCTTCGTCTGCTTCCTGAGCACACTAATCCCCTTCCGATAACTGATGGACCTCCACTGATCCTTCGTCATCTCATAGTATTTCTGCATTTCCGACAACTATCCTTGAACACTTGTATCAGCTCCCCTACATAATAAAAACGACTATGTAAGGTTTTGGGATCGGCTATAAACTCACGATCTCAATAGTTCTCGCATTCGGGTTCCCTTCCTGCTGCTTCCCATCATTGGCATGCATACACTGGAACTTATCCTGCCACTTCGAATTACCCGTCCTCGCGACGGGCCTCTTTCGCTTTATTGTACGAATAGGCTCCTCATCAGACGAAGTCCCCTCATCATCGGGCGCAGATACGTCATCATCTAATGGCTACACAAACCGAACATCAGCTGACCGAGTGATATCTCATGTCTGGATCAGGTGTGTCATACCAAATCACCCATCCGCACCGCCTCGGCAATCATGATATCTAGTTCGTCTTTAACCTCACGTTCTTGTGTAGTACTTGGTCCTGGAGTGGATAGCAGCTCCGCTGCGAGCTGCTGTGATACTAGATCATCAGTCGTTACACTGGCTTCCAACTTGGCCTCAATAGCAAGCTGGGAATCTGTAGGACTATCCTCCGCTGTTGGACTTGGTGTATCATGAGCTCCCTTGGATAGTTGCGGCCTGATCTGGAGACTCTGTGCTGTAGCACTGGAGCTCTGTTGATCACAGAGCGGGGTTTCCGCTGGAGCAGAAGATGGGGGTGGCGAGTGCTGCTGTGGGAGAAGAAATGAGTTCTCGGTAGTGGAAGGCTGACCGGCGACTTTGTATTGAAACTGGTCATGGTTTAGGACGCGTGCAAAGGCGAGACAGTCGCTGATGTATGTGTCATTGACTATGGCTATGTGGTCCTGTACAGGTATGGAATTTAGTGACTGCGGATGAGGAAAGGCGAAAAATGAGGGGGGAGTTTACGGGAATGAACTCTCGTCTAAGTGATTTCAATACGTCGGGATACTTTAGTTTTGAGTCTACAATGATATGCGTGATGTCTACATATACACTGTCAGCTAATTTTCTCTCCTGGAGGCGTATGTAAATCAATGGGAGGCATGCATGTTCGTACCCTGCTCCCTCCACTCTTTGAGACAGAAACCGCCGTGTTCGTCGGCTTTCTGGACCCGAAACTTGCGGACAGGGTTTTTGATGTCATTGGGTATAAAATCTTAATTTCACCGACACCATTTAGTAAGCTCACGGTCAATGATTAGTATAATATAACTTACAGAAATACATCCCGCCGAATATCTGCTTCTCCGCCGGCAATGCAGGGGTTCTTTTTCTTTTCGCTACTTTTGTGTGAACTGGCAGCATTCTTGATGACTCTGGTGGCGGCAAATGCCTCGGGGCGCACTCGAGAGATGCCGGGACCGTTGAAGAGGTGGCAGTGACAGCAGATATATCTGAAGTGGAATCGGCCATATTGATATTATTCTCCGATACAACTGGCCCCGGAGTAGCAGTGGAAACCTTTTTGGTGAAAGCTTGTATACTTGTACTCCTAACTGATTCTAAAGCAGTGGATGAGATTTTTGTTGTAGAATTCGATGAGGCCACCTGCAGACGAGAACTGCGTCGAACAATACGTTTGTATCTCTGGTTCCTGCTCGCTGCAAGAGCTAGAGATGCTTCACTTGTTTCCTCTTGCTCTGGCTCGGAACCAAGTGAGTAAAGACCGGCAAAGAACTGTTCTTTGTTTAGGAATGGGTCTTCGGAGCGCTCACAAAGCTCCCACATGTCGGTAATTGAAAGGAGCGAAAAAGGAGTGTTTATATACAAGCCTTAAGCTTTAGTATTTTATGAGTCAAGAGCTCTGTGCCGGTTGGGAAGACGCGCAGCATGCATGTCACACATCTATTGCATATGAGTCTGAGTGGTTACAAGAACCCAGGAAGGAAGGGATCGCGTCAAGAGGAGGGCTCGGAATTAATTGCCACACGTGATCTTGTGTCGCACTAGTGGTGGAACGGGGAACAAGGATGGAGGGAATGGATAAGCATGCGGTACATGTACCTACGTTTAACCAGCTAAGAGGGTTACATGTTTCATAATGGAAGTTTCCGAATGCAGAACAAGCTTATGGATTTGGGGGTTAGATTGAGATAGTACGTACAGGACATACGTCCTATTCCGTCTATTTTAAGGTTATACAGTATCATTCAGGAGGACAGATCATCAACAATCCGAGGATAATGAAGGGTAAAAGGTAAACTACATGTACATAATTACATGTATGTACTGGCAGTTTACTAGCGAGTCCACAATACATGTATTTACAGTTGAGTCTTAATTAATATATATTGCAGGTTGATTTATAAATTTGATAAAAAGGTCGTGTACCTACATCTTGTCATGCCGGGGTTCAACGCAATTACCCTGCTGTAGAAAAAACATCGGAGTGATATCTGATGACGCTGCTTTTAATTATCTGATCGAACGCCTTCAGGCCAACTACATGTAGATAACAGAAAGCCACAGTGCCAAATACAAATGATGGCACCACCACTGCTATTTGGGTGCCCCTCGCGATCGGTCCTCATAATCTTGCGGCTGAAAACATGTCTTGTGCGGGGCGGTCGGTTGACAGCGTTGCCAATGCATGACTTGCATGGTTCCCCCTTCAATTCTAGCCTCAATCGTAGTAGATTGACGGGGAAGGGCAGGGGCTCTGTTATCATACATCATCTACGCCGTGTTGCATTTGAAGGTGCCTAGCATAGGTCGCTCTCCCGGCAGATAAACTGCCATCGGTCACCCGGTCGCTTCCCTCACGGACAGGCGAGTGAAGTACAAGATGAATGTGCATGCAATTAGCCGTATATCGAATTCAATTTCTTCCACATTCCAGCTACCATGGGAAAAGAGTATCGGACAGAGGGGGAGGAAGGCACTGGGTGAACTTTTCTAGAGTATGGATTGGAAGGTGGGAGAGGTGTGGGAATTGGGATTCTATGCGGGAGGACGAAAACTGTATGGGGTGATGGTCCACATCGTTACCATACCGGTATCGACAGACACGAGTCCCTCGCATAAGAAGGAAACGAATGAGGAGAGAGAGGTGGGGAAGAAAAGACACTGAGAATGGAGAAAGTTGTGGCAGGCGGATTCGACGCCGTGTCCCCGGGCAGGCCAGTTGAGCCGAAAGATGAGGGATCGGGGGGAAGGGCCTCTCTCTCTTACAATCACAACTCAACCTAGGCTTTCCCTCAGTGGAACCTTTTGAAGTAATAGGTTTGTTATTGCTTCTTGAAACATCATGCCAAGCACCAGCACCAGCACCACAGCGTCCAGCGTCCAGCTTTCTGTGCCGCTGCCTGATGCTTCTGCGGGAGCATCTATGTATGTACATACATAGTAATTGTATGTAGGGTACTGTCTGTAGTCTACTCCATTAGGTACGTTAGTGAACTTTACGGGCCTTCCTCACTGCTTCTTCCGCTGTTAGCTCCCCCCAAGTCATTTCCGTATCGTTACCTCACGTTCGTTCGCTGTTCTTTTTTCTCTCCCACCCCCTTCCACCCTTTCTACACCATCATCATCATCATCATCATCACCACCGTCAACAGCCACCATCCTTATCCCCTTCCCTCAACCGATTTGTTCCTGCTCCAACGCCATCCGTAATCACCAACTCTCGCTCGTTTTCTGCATCACCCCAGCTCACGATGCAAAATGGCCCCGAACCGCCGACAAAGAGGCAGAAAACCTCTTGTTCTGCCACCGTCGCCTCCACGGTCGCTTCTGTGGAACCCCCCGCGAGAAAACTGCCTCAGATCCTGGACTTTAAGTTCCCTCCCGTAGAACCTATTGCTCTGAAAGAGCATAAACGTTCGGTAGACTGCCTAGTGAAGCTTCTACAGAAGAAGAAGAAGATAGTGGTTATTGCAGGAGCTGGCATTTCTGTAGGGGCTGGAAGTAAGAATTCCCCTATTCGCCTTTCCCACTTGTTTTTGTTGTGGTTCTGTCTGCCAGCCACTTGGTTGGCGTCGTGTAGTACAATGCTTACTAATCGACCAACCACAGTTCCCGACTTTCGATCCTCAAATGGATTATTTTCCACTTTAAGAACAGATATGAAATTAAAGTCTTCTGGGAAGCAATTATTTGATGCGTCCGTTTACAAAGATGATCAACTCACTTCATCGTTCCACGATATGGTTCGCAATCTCCATACCATGACATCTAACGCCTCGCCAACCGAGTTTCACCACCTCTTAGCAACATTAGCGAACCAAGGAAGATTGCTTCGTTTATACTCACAAAACGTTGATTGTATCGACACGCAATTGCAGCCTCTAAAGACAGCAGTGCCCCTCGGTAATAAGGGACCTTGGCCTCGGACTATTCAATTGCATGGAGGGTTGGAAAATATGGTCTGCTCAAAGTGTGGGTGGTTGGCCGCGTTTAACGCGAGCCTATTCAAAGGGTCGGAGCCTCCAGACTGCACAGAATGTATGGAAATGGATTCCGTGAGGGGTGTGGCTGGAAAGCGGGCGCTTGGCGTTGGGAAATTAAGACCAAGGATTGTCCTGTACAACGAATTTAACCCGGACGCCGAGGCGATTGGTGCAGTCACAAAGGCAGACCTAAAGTCGCGTCCAGATTGCCTGATAGTAGTCGGAACAAGTTTGAAAGTACCTGGGGTGCGGAGAATCGTCAGAGAAATGTGTGGAGTGGTTCAAGACTACCGAGGTGGAATGACTGTATGGATCAATGAAGACGACCCACCAACCGGGAAAGAGTTTGAGGGCGCCTTTGATCTTATTGTTAGGGGGGACTGTGAAAAGGTTGCAAAAACCGCCAGCATGCCAAGATGGGATGGCAGCGAGGCGCCCTTGCGGGCAGAATTCGAGACAGATAGCGACAGCTGCGGTTCATTCATGATGGATATAGATTCTGATGAGCTCACCAGGAGCACCAACAATGTTGAAGTCCATATTCCCCCACTTCTCCAGATTACTCAACTTCCTAGCCCTTCTATAAGTCCTCCGCCGAAAGCGAAAGGCGCGCGCAAACGACCGCCTCCCGACACCAAAATTGGTCCGTCAGCGAAGAGGGTCAAAACCAAAGCGAAATCAACAGCTACAGGCACGAAGGCTAAGGCGGAGCCTAAAAAGAAGAGCAATATTGCCACCGCGTTCAAAGTTAAGAAAGCGGTATCCATGACGGCCGTCAAAGGAACAAAAGCAAAGCCTGTAGCTAGAGCACCAAGAACGCCCAAAACGACAAGTTCGGTAGCTACAAAGAAGATGGCGCCTTCAGTTGAGATTCCGGCAAAGACAAATACTATTACTGTTGAGATTCCGGCGATGGCTATAATTTCGACATCTCCTACTACGCCTACATCTGGAAATTTGTTTGGCAGCGAGAGGTCGTCTTCAATCCCAATCTCGAGTTTGCTCAACTGAGTAGACATGTTTATAATGTAAATTTTCCGGAGAGCTATGATAAAGGAGTTACGGACCCTACGGAGGAAGAGAGAATTTTTTTACTGGGTTATTGGTGGCGTATAGTGTATGAAAAGTGGACTTTGTCTTGAATTCCATTAACAGGCTACATCAGGAATTAACTTGTATTGCTTGAAGTCACGACGACAGAAAAAAGCGTGTACGTGCATGGGGAAGGAAAGAAGGACATTAGTCTTAGGATATGTTATAAAATACGGCCCGGAAAGAACTGGAAGACTGTGGATTTTCCATTTGGTTACTGCTTTATTTATTTTCGCTCTTTCCCTTTATTTATTCTTCATATTCGATTGGAGTCGTGGGATGTTATGTCAATTCCCTTAACTTTCCTATTTTCTTTCCTTTTTATACTATGGTTGCTTTTTGAATCCTAGATCTTTCTTTTATGGTGTCGACAGGAGTTTTGGATATCGTTTGAATTGAGGGAATCTTTTTTTTCTAATGGCATTCGTTTGGTTTACATGTGCACACATAATTTTCTTTCTTGCGGACTGGATCCGGAGCTTTGTGTATACAAGTATATGAATCGCATATACACGGCAGTAACTTCCACCGCTGCTGGCTGCGTGGTGAGGGTGTTTGTTTGAGTTGGTTGGCACACGTACGAGCGTATATGGCTACATAAAAAACATATGCAGGTCTTAGACGCGCGATTAGGCCAGTGGTGTGTTCTAAAATGCAAATACAGTCACCTCTTATTTCATGCTAATTTGCAAGTGAGAGGGTGAATGCTCTAGCTAGCGAGGCTGTGGGTGCGTGCGGGGTGCATCGGGAGTGAATCATAGGTTATCACTCGGATCGTGTGCATGGCGAATGTAGACGATTAATTGATTTATCATGTAGTCCTAGGAGGCAAAGAGACGTAGGCAATAGTATATATGTTGAGGTGGTTGTTGGGAGTGCGTGTGTGTGGTCATGGACGTTGCTTATTCTTTTATTTACGTTTCGTAATTATTTGTTTATTTTGGATCGATGCAAGTACAGCCATACATATACTTAACATATTATCATTTCCATAAAATCTTTTGAATATTGGTGGTGTACCTGCCTACATGTAGCTCTCCTTAGGCTATGGAGAGTACTATTAATGGCTAAGTAGCACCGCCGTTAGAGCATTTATGGTACTGAATAATTCAATCTTCGAGAAGATAGATTATGATATAGTTATGCGGCCTCCCTATATATAGTTAGCTAGCTTTATAGGTGAGATTATTGTTAAGTAAAGAGACTGCGTGCTTCTGGAACCCTCCCTGAGAATTCTTGATAAAGTATGTATCTGCCGCGTGCGTACCGGCCTTGATCATTTGAGTTCGAACGTCGCCCTTCCAGATATACATGCATGTAGCTATATATACAAGTACATAATAGGGGTAAGTATTCACTTCTTCAAATACGTGCTCTTATAGGCATTTGCTTATACGGATCGTTTAAAATAATCGGCAGTCGCGTATTCTGAAATACATGTATATATGAGGAGAAAATAAGCATCATCAACCTACCTTACTGTCCAAAACATAGACCATATATGCGTATAATATAAAGATGAATGACTAATACACTAAGTACAGGCCTTGAATCAATATGGTAACAGATTTGTTCCTACAATATGGCATGTGCACTCCAGAGGTATTCGGATTTTTGAAAGATTCAATGCCATATAATATGGAGCGGTAAATGTGTCAAAAGTAATTTTACCAACGGTAGTAAATTATTTGCCACCGGTGGTGTAAGCACTGAATTTCAGTCATTGTCTCTGCACGCTATCCTACATTAGTACATTTCCACCGGTATAAGCACTGAGTTTCGGTCTTTATGCTGCGCTATACTAAATAAGTAAATATTCAATCATTAATGCCAAAACTTATGCAAATTTCCCACCGGTGGTGAAATACCGCCACCGATGGTGAGATTCCCCACCGGTGGACAATTTTCATATATATTGGCATTATATGGCCCCTTTTGGCCAAAAGGTCTGTGCTTTTATCATAAAAATTAGCATTATAGGGTATAAATACTGGTATTATTTTCACCACCAGTGGTAAAATAATTTACTACCGTTGGTAAAATTACTTTTGACACATTTACCGCCCCATAATATAAGGGGCATTGTAATGCAGCGTTATAAAGGCATATATTTCTAGAAGTGAATACCCCTAATATATATAGACATACTGGAAGCCATTTCGTGGATATTTTTGAAGGTTTATAGGCGTTCAAATAATGTGGTCTGTAGACCCCCGCAGGGGGTGTCTACAGATTTACTCACCTGGCAGTCTGCTTACAACTCTCATACTTCAAATAACCAAAACAACAAAACAACATTTTCTAAAAATTCCAAAAAAAAAAAAAAAAAAAAAAAAAATTAGCGCTTCACTATTAGCAACTAGGGATATAGATATCATGTTTACAAGCCTTATTATTTCTCCACTGTCGAATAGGGGAGAGTTATGTGCTCTGGTCTTGTTTTGCAGAATTTGATGTGGTGAGCTGTTGCTATGCAAGATTTGTAATTTATCTTCAAGGCTTTAGGTTTGAGGTTTGAACACCTTCAGAATATCCACGGGATGGCTTCTATTAACAAATTAACTAATAGTCGAATAATAGTCCCTTCTCGAGTTATGTCGAGTCCTAATCTGTTCCCAAAAAAAAAAGAAAATGCTTCATCTAATATATTGATTCCTCACCGACATATATGGATAGAGAAAGTCGTCTGGTGCTCTCTTCCAAGGGATTCTTTAAGGACAGAAATATACAGCTCGCGCCTCTCGAGCTCTGGGGAGGTTGTTATCCCTATGCCTCCGGCTCCTATGACAATATATCATCCACAGCCCCCATAAAGACTATGAAAGTGGGCACAGTAATGGCGATGAGCTTCCGGCAGGTTCCTATTAGCTACAGGCGGAAGTGGTTCGTTGCGTCGGATGTCCCTTTAATTTGGCTAGTCAGTATCCTACTAGTAGTTCCTAGGGACATTATTAGCAGCATGTTATCTGAATTACAGACAGGTGAGGGACGATCAACTAGCTACATATATATAATATAGGTATAATATCTAAGAAAGGTTACTTGCTGTATCCCATAATTAACCGTCGAGACAATGTTGATACCTCTTCATAAAGGCAAAAAGATAGCTGGAGCCAAGAGATCCTATTACTTTTGTTGATCTATCTCCCAATAGTACCACAAATTTGTATCAAGCAATAGGGTATCGGTATCGACGGTTTATAAAGAGTAAATCTTTGCACATAGCTAATTTGCTCAGCCATGGCCAGTAACGTATCCTCCTGAATAATTTTTGTTCTCCGGCTTCAGATTTGGTGAGAGATGAAAAAAGCTATCATTGACATCTCACCCGCGAACTGGGAGACGAAGGTCGTAATTGTAGAAAAATTTTCTGATTAGGCAGACAGCAGTAGTGGTGCCTTCTTCGCAGGGGAAAATTAGGAGAGCCCCCCATCCCCGAGAAAATAAATAACTGGAATTTGAATTTATGTCTTGTACTAAAGTATGTTATTGTTAAATTCTCAAAGACCGCAAATCTTTGTTACAAAAGACCCCTGTAGCTGATGAGATGTTGTAGGATTCCGCCTACCTATTTCACGCAAGGGGGTGAACCTGAATACTGATGCCGGAGTATAGAACCCCTTGACGATGCGCAAGGAGGCAACACATATAGCCAAACTGACCGCGACACCCTTCGTATTTAGCTTTAGCTTCCTTTGTCAAGAAGTATATAGGAACTAGATATCAGGGTGCTCCCAAATCCCTCAGTCGTTCCACACCTCACAGTATTCTCCTTAATTTTCATTCAGGTCTAGATTCGTAACTTCAATGACAATCATGGCAAGGCTGATAGTCCTCGCTATTTTCATTTTAACTGCATTTTCCATTGCCTTGGCAGCCCCTACAGCTAAAAAGCGTGATATTGTCTATGAGGTCTTCCCCAACTACCTGGTTCCCGCAGTGCAGGCAGTCTCAGGCACTGCGTACAGCACACAAAACACAGGCCATATAAGCTACAGTGGCAATGATCTTGACATGAACGAGACAACGATGTTTGGTACGTGATTCGACACATCACCCTGCATCTGAGCTGAGCTAACTATAAACCGTGCGTGAAGTTGGCTTCGATATCCCGGCGAATGAGGCAACAAATTGTGTGGTCAAGTTCATGTTGCCACCGCCATCGATTCCTTGGGGATATGAGTGGAAATCTCAGGGAAGTGGGAGGTTCGATGTGTATCTAGTTACAAGCCTCATTGTTCCTGGAGAGCTCAGCTGGGAAAATAGGCCACAAAGATATCAGCTACCAGTGTTCTCGGTGACTGTATGTGATATCTCTATTCTGCTTGATTGGTATCGTGTTTGGCTAACCTTGAATGTATGAGAAGCAACCTATAGATGGTGGAGAGGCTATTGTGGACGGACCTAGTGTCCGGTGCTTTAATGGTCAGAGGATGGACTTTGAGCTTGTTGCGACCCGTGAAAGCGGTTCCATGGGGCTCGACTGGTTCGGTATGTCCCATGGATATTTCCTATTCGTCCCAATGAAAATAAAGGCTCTAATACCAAGATTTATCTAACCTGCAGAGCTCGATAATCCAAGGACTGGAATAACGATGGAGATGTCACTGTAGAGGTATCTATTGGCCCCCATGTTTGGGTTGGTTAGTAAAGTATTATTCGTGTATTGTAATTATCTCGCGATCGTAAATACAAAACAATGAAATGGGTGTGTGCACCTGCATTTATTCTACTGAATGTGGAATTAATTTTGGCTTGTCTCCTAGCTAAAATTGCAGGTAGCTCTCATGAATCAACGTCTGCAAGATCAGCTCTATTTCCCGCAATACTGCCTAAGCGGTGGTCTTACAGCATTGGCATCCGCAGATCGTAGAATACCTAAGTTCATGCAGTTTCGAATCTCGACCTAGGACTGCTTCTACGTGCATGTAGTGTCGGTCTCCTCGTTGTTGTTGTTATTGCTAGGCCTGCAAGGTTTGTCGGATGCTTCTTCTAGAGTAGAGGGATACATATAAGTATTGCTAGTTGGCCTATACTGGCGAGAGTAGTTTGCTGCTAAGTAGGGGATAGGTACGAGACTAGGGTTAAGCATGTACTGAGCACATATAAAATTTGGCTATCCCATATGCCCATCCCCTACTATTCAACTTCTTGCAACGACCAAAGTACATAGATTATTCATCCTATCCGCCAGCACTACCGCTTTACAGAAGCGATATATATGATCGAGTGATCTTAATCTTGGCCATGGCCATGGTTGCGCAACGTCTGTGAGATAAGAATGCAAGTTCGCTCTTGCAATTTGGAAGAGACAACTCATCAAGCGAGCTGCCCTAGCTAGCTGGTCCTGCAGTGCCATGTCGAGCGGTGAGAGAGGCAATTATTCAATGTTAATGAACGGACAAAAAAGCAAATTCTATTGCGGGTTTGAGTTTACCCGTAATATCCCTTCTGGCAACGTATAACTACATAACTACACGTACTTGGGTATATGGGTGTCGAGTGATACTCCATGAGCTTTGCACCCACTATGTTTTCATGCTTGTGATCGGGTCGAAAGGCTGCAACTGCTTGTTATGTACGTACTCGCACTCGCAATAAGGTTACAATGCCGAATCGCGAAGGCACATTACAACCTCGGAAGATTTTTTCTTCTTTCTAGAAAAAAGGAATTTTTTGAATCTTAATGCTACTGAAGATGCCGCATCCAGGTTCTCATGCCAAATCCCCGCCTCCGGAACCCAACCACCAACTGCCTTAAATATATATGCGCCTGGGCCTCCTTCCGCCGATATTATCTACTCTATGATAGGCCCAGTGTCTCAGACATCTCTATAACGTTAATTGACGACTATACCAAACATTCGGTGACCCAACAGACTGAATGCCGGTACGTGCTTCCGTGGTCCCGACTGTCTACATGTAGGTACTCTAGAGTAGATATATACAAGCAAATGTGCGCATGCTATGTTATTGATTGGTCTCAATGACCTTAGAGCTAGAGAGAGACATGCTCTCAATATCTAGTTCATCATCGACTTCGCTAAAAGTTCCAATGGGTTCAAACGCCAGGGTCCTGGCCGGTGTCTCCAGCCTTCCCTCCCTCGAACTACACCCTGATATTATAAAATGTACCATGTAACACTACCCACACCCTCCCCGAGCTCATAATATCGAGCATTTAAGAAATAAAGTCTCAAATCGATCCAAATAGTTATGTCCTCATTGGTATCGATCCGTATTCTCAGATATGAACAGAACATTTCCGCAGCGGATTTCCCCGCCTTCTAACCGCGCCCAGGTACTATTACCAGTAGAGTAGGTACATGTAGGTATTCATCAGAGATCACTCGGAGGGCATAAAAGAGTATGCATGGTTTTATTTAGAGACATGCACGTTGTAGGGAAAATCCTTGAACGATTTCATGCCACATCTCCACCTTTAAACCTCATCCAGCGGATTAGTGACCGGCATGCCCACATGTTGCCCGGCTCGCTCAATTCTTGGGTCTTCTAGGCCACCCGTTTCAAATCAGGCTCTTTTCATCCACCAGACTCTCGACAAATCAGATCTCCAAGATATGGAATTCCGAGATGGAAGCGAGGCGGCATCATGCCATACCACCCCCATCGAGGATGGTAACGGCATCCAAATGTCACCGAATTTCTCACATACCAATCAGCTTCACCCGGTACTTCAGCTCCGCAACCTCTCCTAGTAGTTTTACTGGCTAGAACTCGGTGCAGAAAATCGAGGCAAAGACTCACGAGGCGGGCTTTATACGCAATTTATAATACAGAGGCAGATTTCTTGCCAAGAAGACCCTTTCGCGTGCGCTCGAGCAGTTCTCGCCCGAGTTATAGGAAAGATACACATCCCGCAAGGTTGATTAAAAGGCCCAACGCTGCGGCACAAAATAGACCACCTCGAGCCCTTTATTTCGAAAATAAAAATAAAAATAATAATGTCTCGACGATTGTTACCGAAGCCTTCGTTTGCAGCTACGTCGGCAGACGAAAATCGAGTTACCAAACCCCTGGACCGGCGGGTCAAACGGAACTGTGTAGCTACAGCTTGTATGCCATGTCGGAAGCGGAGATCAAAGGTTCGTTCCTGAATAAAGTCATGATACCGGCGGCAATCCGCTGTTTAAAGGAACGGGATGCGCTTCAACACGGCCGGGCTAACACAACCCCAAACACAGTGTGACGGACAAACTCCCTGTGCGGCGTGTCTAGCAAACGATAAGTCTGAATGTTTTTATGACAAGGAAAGTGACGGACGGCGATCGGGTACCCTGAAAAAACACGTTACCGAGTTGTCTTCGGACAACAACAATCTTCGTTGCATTTTAGGAACTCTGCAAAATTCGTCAGAAGATTACATGCGTAATATAGTCAATCGACTGCGCATGAAAGAGGATATCGAAGTTATTGCGAAATACATCAAGGAGCATCCTCCGGGTTCAGAACCACCTCCAAGCAAATTAAGCACAGCAGAATCCGATAGATCGAGTCCGCTTGTGCCAAGAGAACACCGAGAGTCCACTGGATCCACAGACATTGAATCTTCCAACGGAGGATATGTATATTCTTATGGATCTCCGGAACTGGAGGAAGGGTGGACGTATAATAATAATGGGCGTGGTACGACTCCAAGTTCTTTCGGAGGCTCTACCACTTCTGTTGGAAGTCCCCCATCGCTAGGCAGTCCTCCTCCTCCGGATATCAACACAACAGTTCGTTCTTGGACGACTGTGACTGATGATGTCGGTTTCATTCGTCATATACTGGACTGCTTTTTCATATGGCAGCACGCCTGTACTCCAATTTTTTCGAGAAGGAGGTTCTTAGAAGACTTTATTAGAGGTAAATCTGATTTTTGCAGTTCTATTCTTGTAAACGCTCTGCTTGCCTTGGGATGTGCCTTTTCAGATAGACCCGGTACTCGTACAGACCCGGAAGACCCAACAACTGCAGGCGACCATTTCTACACTGAAGTAGAACGCCTTTTAGAAATTGAAAACGTGCAAAACAAAATCACAACGATACAGGCACTTGGAATCCTAAGCATGAGAGAAAGTGGGTATCTTAGGGACGTCAAGGGATGGTTTTACGGAAGTCTTGCTCTTCGTGCAGCCTCTGAAACACTACATAAGAGCTCGCAAGACTATACCGAGCCAGACCTTGAGGTTTGGAGGGTGACATACTGGGGGCTATTTAATCTTGACTTGTATGGATTCCTCTTCTATTTTCTTTATTCCCCCTGCCCCTCTAGTTTTCGTGAGTTGTGGTTAATGCTGCCAATATAGATCATGGTCGATTGCAATAGCAAGGCTACCCCAACTCACTGGGAGGGCCTGGGAGCTACCAACGATCGACTATGAATTAGATAGGGAGGAGTACCTAGAACAAGCGGAGCTTTTATGGTACTCCACAGGAAAAGTCCCTCATGTTCACGGTGCATTCTTACAGTATATCAAGTTGTCAGGAATTGCCAAGGATATTGTAAATGCCTTCTATTCCCCATCAACCCAAGAAGAAAAGGTCACGCCAAAGATGCTGGATAGATTTCATAGGCGTCTTCTGGCTTGGGATGTGGAGCTTCCCGAAGAGCTAAAATTATCATCCACAACCTTACCGCATATTCTTCAACTTCAGTAAGTAAAGACTTGCTTGTACTTATTTTCATCATAGACAACCTCTAAACGATGTTAGCTTGATCTGTCGAGCAACAACCATCATGCTTTTCCGTCCGTTCCTACAAGTACCAGTGAGCGGCTTGTCCGAGAACTCGCCGAGGAGCATTTGCAAGAAGGTTGCCAAAGAAATAATCAAGATTGCACATAGATATCGGCATGAAATTGGGCACAAATATTTCATCCTTCCATTTTGTCACTACACCTTCCTTGCATGCCAGACATTTCTACAGGATCAACCAGCAGAGGAAGAGAACCTGAACCATGGCCTGCGTTTGCTTGCAGGAGCCAAACACTTATGGCCTGCAGGAGCTCTTGGGCTCTTCGGGTTACCTAGGATCGCTGAGACTTGCGGTATTCAACTCTCTAAAGAAACTCTTTCAATCCCAAATTTGACAAAAATCGAGGTCGGGCGCATGGCCAGCACCAGTTGGGCTTCAGCCAGGGAGGAGGAGGTCAAAGTAGTCACTGATGAATTTCTCGATTACTGGGAAAGAGCTTTTGCAGATGTATAAGTAGGTGTATTCGGTAGTCTAATTCTTGTTACATGTATTCAGTCTTTTGGCTTTGGGCTGCGGCCAATTTGTCTTCTTTATTGTGTATTAAATAGGTGTTTTATTTTTCTTATCGACCCTAAACTGGTGGCGTAATATGAGCTTGGACTCTTCTAATGAATTTATGTTGAGATGTGAGCTGGCGTATGGTTTATTAGGAATAACACGGATTGAGGAATTGAACCGGGACCGAGGCTAAGAAGGGATTCGGGTCGGGCAAAATCGTGTTACATTTAGTTAAAATAGTATTGTTTCTTATTGGTCAGGATATCAAGGGCTGATATTTATGAGGCAATTGATTGATGAACAAGTTACTTTGCAAGCTCGTCTGTAGTTTGTTTTTGTATCCACATACTTTAGATGTATCCTACGTACATGTATGTACCTTCGGCTTAGGCCAGGTTCCTAGAGTAATAGTCCCATCGAGTTAAGTTTGATAGTGGCCGAAAACACGTGGTGTGGCTTTTTTCTTTTTCTTTGCGAAACTGATGTTCTAAAAGCACAGGAGATGCTTCTATTCCTGGTAACAAGGTACATGTAGGTACACAGAGTACTATCTTCAATCTTGTCCAACAAAACAACCAGATATGGCTACAGTACTAATTGCGATGGAGCGATACCCTTGACAGGATTTTATTACTTACCGGATTTACGCGTGGTTGCGCATCCCACGCCGAATACGGGGGTTTCGTTTACCAGAGCCTGTTGCGTCATGGTCAGGCAGGTTAACCACCACGAGATTTTACCCCTCCACCCCACCCTCTTCTTGGCCGAGGATAATTTGATAAATATACTCCTCTCTTGTCCCGTTCCTGTCCGAATAATTCAACTGAAAAGCATCGAATAGTATTGGTTTAAGCTCGGAATTCAAATAATTCCTATCAATCGATCATAACGGAAACCCAAAATGTCTCTTTCAAACAAACTCGGTATGGAATTCATCTCCATTAAATTTTTAATATAGAAATTACGCTTCCCCTCCTTACAGACTGACACCCACTCCCCATTTTTACAGCCATTACCGATGTTGATCTTAAGGACAAGCGTGTCTTAATCCGAGTGAGTATCTCAGACCTCCATACATTCTCAGTTATAGAACTGATTCACGAAATTTTCTTTCTTTCTAGGTTGATTTCAACGTCCCTCTCGATGGCACCACCATCACCAACAACCAGCGTATCGTCGCTGCCCTGCCTTCAATTAAATACGCCTCTGAGCAGGGCGCTAAGGCCATCATTTTGATGTCCCACTTGGGCCGTCCTGATGGCAAGCGTGTCGAGAAGTTCTCTTTGGCCCCTGTAGCACAGGAGTTGAAGAAGCTTTTGAACAAGGATGTTACTTTTTTGAATGACTGTGTTGGAAAGGAGGTCGAAGAATATGTTCAGAAGTCAAGTGGAGGTCAGAATAGATTCAAAACTGTAAGTATGGGCTTTAGAAACTAATTAATGGATACAGGCGAGATTATTCTTCTTGAGAACTTGCGTTACCACGCCGAGGAGGAAGGTTCCTCAAAAGGGCCTGACGGAAAGAAAGTTAAGGCTGACCCTGCGGCCGTCGAGGCTTTTCGCAAGTCGCTCACTTCTCTTGGAGACATTTACATCAGTAAGTCCCACACATGACAATAGTGGGTAAATGGGCTTAACACCGGTAAAAGACGATGCTTTCGGTACTGCCCACCGTGCACACAGCTCTATGGTCGGTGTCGACCTTCCTCAGAAAGCTTCTGGTTTCCTCGTCAAGAAGGAGCTCGAATACTTCGCCAAGGCTCTTGAGTCCCCTGAGCGCCCTTTTCTCGCCATCCTTGGAGGGGCCAAGGTCTCTGATAAGATCCAGCTCATTGACAACCTGATTCCCAAACTGGATAGCTTGATCATCTGTGGTGGTATGGCTTTTACCTTCAAGAAAACCCTTGAGAACGTTGCAATTGGTACCTCCCTCTACGACGAGGCTGGTTCTAAGACTGTTGGTGACATCATCGAGAAGGCGAAGAAGCACAACGTTAAGGTTGTCTTGCCTGTCGACTATATCACTGCCAACAAGTTTGCCAAGGATGCCGAGACTGGATATGCCACTGATGAACAGGGTATTCCTGATGGCTGGATGGGTCTGGACTGTGGAGAGAAGTCCCGTAAATTGTTCAAGGAGACTATTGACGAGGCGAAGACCATCCTTTGGAACGGGTAAGATATTAACCCAATGGCTTGGCAACCCTTACTAACTAGATTAGACCTGCTGGCGTTTTCGAGTTCGATGCTTTTGCAAATGGCACCAAGGCTATGCTGGATGCTGCTGTTGATGCTGCCCAATCTGGCAAGATCGTTATCATCGGTGGTGGTGATACTGCAACTGTTGCTGCCAAGTACGGCGTGGAGGACAAGTTGAGCCACGTCTCAACTGGCGGTGGAGCGTAAGTCTTACCCGCTCCAAATTCAAGCCAGCAGCTGACAGCTTTGTGATAAAGTTCTTTGGAACTTCTTGAAGGAAAGGATCTTCCTGGTGTCTCCGCCCTCTCTGTAAGTAATTGTTCTCTCTTTCATCCTCACAAAATCGTTTTCTAATATTCATATAGAGTAAGTAAATGAGATTCGTTTTATACCAACCAAGGTCAAAGTCGCATGAATCTTATTGGATGATGTTATGGCAGTTTCTCGGAAAACCAATTTGTAACGTGCTGTTTCCTTAGATATTAATAAAAAAAAATAGTGCCTCCAAAAAAGAAAAACCTCCACATGTGTGGCTAAAAGATATAATATTCATAAAAGCGTACGGTAAGTGTGGGAAGTGTAGAAAGTATAGTTGAGATGAAAACGGATATATTGTGAACATGTAACTGGAGCTCTTATTTAAGACTGAATCGCTCTGTAATTCCCGCGGGGGCTATATTACAAGTGTCCTCGGTTTTATTCTAACTAGTGTTGACTCCGAAAATGCCATATCCAGCTATGACTTGTTCGCTCCGGTCTTTTTGAGCTCCTCTCTTGAAGGTAGGTATCATATCAGCACATATTCCAAATATCATAAAGCGTCAACAAGTGTAAATGAATAATAACCTGAGCTGCGCAGAGAAGTCCTCGCTAGTATCGTCATCATCCCAGCTCTCCTCCCAAAGGTTTCCCTTTCCACCAGGCACATCGGCCTCTGCATCCTCCCAATCTGCCCCAACCAACTGTTAGCCATTTCTATCTCTTATCACCATTTATGTTTCTTCGCCCATCTATCATTGGTTGATAATATGGAGTCGCTCTGACATCGGTCTGACATCGGTCTATGAGCTCACCTTCGACAGGGAAATCCTCAAATTCGTCATCCTCTTCCAAAGAGACGTTTGGCTTTTGTGTAGGTTTGTCGTCCTTGGGATCTGAGGACTTCGGCGCAGCAACTTTTGATGACATGATGAGTTTTGAAGATGGCGGAATAAATGATCTGACAAGCGCTGTGAGGGGGACTTGGGGCTATGCTTCAGATATATCACTACTACATGAGCTAAGTCCCCGTGACCGTAGTGGACAGGGTAACTTTGAGGTCAACTAGTTTACAAAACAAGCCTTGCTAAATGAGGAGTGGTAAAAGGTCTGCCAAGCCTACACTTTCGCTGTAAGCTAGAAGCGGAGAATTAACGTCAGAGCCCAGCGGAGGCTCCAAAATCCCGGGCACCGGTGTTTATATGTTATCAGCGGGGCAGCGTCCGTATTACGATGACTCCAAGGATGCATACTTGTACCATGTTTTATTGAGTGATCCTACGCATAAATAAGTCCAAATTGTAAACCTAAACTGTTTTGTTTGACAGAATTCCACTACCTGAAGAGATGTCAGTCTAGAACTATACACAGAACCCACCAGTGCAGATTATCAATCTCACATATTTTTCTCCGGAACAACGATCTTCAAGATCAGTAACCTAGCTGCCCAAAGCCCAAGACTGAAACATCTTCACGCGTACCTTCCCGACAGTACCCTTCCGTCTGTGCTCTATTCTTCTCAGAATTTTACACCTAATTCTAGTCCCTCTTTATATCCTGCTAACAAAGCTGGCTTGCAAAACTACGAGCCACTCCTCCCCCTTCACATCTTTCTCCTCTTCCACAGCTGTTTCTTGACCACGCCTTTATCTTCATTATTTGCAAATTCAATATTGGCTCTCACCCCGCTTTATTACTCTCCTTTTATACACTCTCCGTGATATTCTTAACAGCCTTGTTTCGTTGCGATCATGTTGAAGGGATGGCTTGGGTTCGGGGGTGGAGAAGTTCCAGCACAGGTCACTCATACCAAATCTACACAATCCTTAAGTGCTCTAGATGAGCCGCAAGCATGTTTGTGCCCCTGAGCGTTTAAACACGACCAACTATGACTTTACTGATATTGTAATGTGATTTAGTGGACCAAGCAATGAAAGGTCCCTTCTACACCTCTTGATTATTTCTCTGCAATGAATGGCATTATGCTAACTTGACTAAAGCCATGGACCTGCTCCTGAACGATGACGTCCTCGGTGCTGAGAAAGCTGTCGAAGGGGGGAATTCAAGTTACCACAAGGTTCCTTCCCCTCCAATCGTTATTTACTGTATTCACGGAGACAGATAATAATTTGCGCTCGAGTGTAGCTCGCTGGTGGTGTCGTTGCATTTCTTCGTGCAAGTCTAGGTTTTGAGACTGAAATTATGAAAGAAGGTGTTTATAATTTATGCCTCTTGGACGGTTCTAATATCATCTGACCCTTGTTAAAAAAAAATCAATAGCCTCGGAACGTCTCGCAGATGCCGAAGCATCTGCCGAACGGGATCGGAAGAAGGCTATCAAGGAGAACCATCACCGAAGCTCTTGCCCAATAGGCGCCGAGTTTGCGTTGGCGCATGCGGAGGCTCAATTGATGTCTGCTGTGGTTGCAGTTCTATCAGAATCAGTAATAGAATCCATGAAAGCAGTCTACAAATTACGAACCGCGTATAAAACTTTGGAAGGTATCCAGAATGATATGGCTAGGGGTCTAATGCAATTGGACGGAGCTGGGCAGAGTAGGCAAAGTCTTGGGACAGGGAGTAATTCCGAATGTGAACCCTCGGGTTTATTGACTCCTGGGTTGGAAATGAAGGGCTCTGGTACTAGTATCCGATCGACAGGTTCCCGCCCCAATACCGCCAGAATTCGGTCAGAAAATCTTGTGGATGAATTTGTAATCTCGGGAGTCAATCTTTGTTTTGGGGTTCTACTACTTATTCTCAGTATGATTCCACCAAGTATGAGAGTAGTGATGTCCGCAGTGGGATTTAGAGGCGGTATGTAATCCTGATGATATTTTTAGACCAATATTAACATTAAAGGTTTGTTTAAGACCGTGAAAAGGGGATAGAAATGCTGTGGAAAGCATCCACCTACAGTAACCTCCATGGTGCGATCGCCGTACTAGCCATCTTACAATACTATGGAAATTCGGTACAGTTCTGTGATATTTTACCACCTCAAGACCATCCATCTGGTGCAGGTTACCCTAAGCAGAAGTGTCAAGAAGCATTGGAACGACTGAGGGCAAAGTACTCCAAAAGCGCTTTGTGGCGATTGGAAGAAGCTAGGATGTTAGCTGTTGATCGCCAAATGGACGAGGCCATAGCAATATTAGCCCAGCCAGCACAGACACAGATGAGGTATATCTCTTGAAACTTCCCAGTGCGATAGGTCACTTATCCCAATATAGACAGGTAGAGGCATTGTCATTATTCGAAAAATCCTTGTAAGAAAATCCCCATTCATAGATAACATTCATTTTCTGACATATCGCGATAGGAACTTGATGTTCATGCACCGTTACGAAGAAACAATAGAGGGTTTTTTGAAGGTATGAGTGATAATCAGTATTAATTGATGACGGGCAACTGATCTTGTCAAAGCTCACAGAACTTAACACCTGGAGTCCAGCACTTTACCACTAGTAAGTCCTTATTACCTTATGCCACATATAGATGTTGACCATTCCCAGCTTTGCTGCTGTATGTCAAGTGGAGCTCTATAGAAAATACATCGACACAGACAAGGAAAAATCAGTACGTTTATACCTAAAAGGTGAATGAATGAAAATTGATTGGAAGTTTAGGACAAGCACGGTGAACTGGCAGAGGAATTATTCGAGAAGATTCCAACTTTCATGGGTAAGAAAAGGTTCATGGCGCAAGGTCTCCCTCTAGAAATGTTTGCGGACCGCAAACTCAAGAAATGGAAGGCACGGGCACTAGCAAAGGGCATGCGGGTTATCGAAGGCGTCGGAGTCAGCCCAGTAGAAGAAATGATTTATTTTTGGAGTAAGTACCGTTGAATATATATAGTCAAAATACAAAAGCTAATAAGGTGTATTATATAGATGGGTATAAGCGGATGGATCAATCAAATTTTGAAATTTCAAAAAAGGCTTTACAATGGCGAAATGAGGAGATGATCAATGATGCAGTTGATGAACAGGCAATTCAGTGGATTCTACTTAGCGTTGTTTCGAGAAACCTTGATGAGATGGAGAAAACGAAGATGTACATCCAGAACGTTCTTGCGATTGATAGGAATGCGTTTAAAGGGTTATTGAACGACAACTGGATGGGTGGGCTCCTCTAATTGAGTAGATCCCTATATTATTATTGGTACTAACGAATATAAACAGCACCGACGGCGCATTATGAGTGGGCTGTTGCGCTTTGGAAAGAACATGGCCAGAAGGAGCACCCCGAGATCAAATCCTGGCTTGATAAAGCAGCGAATTGGGGGGCCTTCGAGCTTGATGCAAGAGTCGGATTGAGGGTGACTACAGCGCTGGATACAATTAATAGGTTGAAGAAATGGGAAGAATTTGGATCAGAGGGGGAAGCTTAAGGAAGAAATAAATGGGATAAGAGGAGAATAAAGAATGAAGATTACATGCAGTTATCTGTGAATCATCAGGCAGTTATTTAATCCGGTTTCCCTCTAGGAACTCACGGTTGATTGATTGATTGATAGGAAACGCACGGTCAACTGCAGAAGCACATGTACTTATTGGTGGGTGTTAGTTTTTGTTGTCCGTAGACCTGCTACAAATATTGTAGTAGTTATGCACAGTTTCCAGTAGAATTATTGCGAAAGTCAGGGGATTTGTGGTCTGTGGTCGCAGCAAAAAACGTTTTAAGAGCCAATAGGACTATCGGGTCACGGAGAACCCCACTTTCGCAATAATTTTACCGGAAACTGTACATACAATAGGAGTGAGGTTCGCGCCACTTCCCAACAATAGTACTATTCTGATGAGAGGTAAAAGCGCTAATGAATGCATATGGACTGAGTGATATCCTATGATTGGAATAAGAATTCATGGTACATATAGCGAGGGGATCAACAACCGCAAGCGGCACGCCACCCGAGGGATGGCACCAACACAAGCACAGAGACATAGCAGTTCAGTCTCAGTTTAATTGGCATTGTTAGCATACAATTTCCTATAAACCTAAGCCCAAGGAAAGTTTAAATGCCGGCAGGTAGGCAATATGCCTTTGATAGAATTGGCCTCATTTCCACAAAATAAAACAAGTCCTAGCATGTACACTACAAGTGGTAGAGATAGACAAGGAAGGGATGAAGTCACCAGCAAGGCCCATCAAGAAGAAAAATCCCAACTGCCAAATCACAAAAGAAGAGAAAAGATATTAACGGAGTAGCTGATAAAAAGAAAACGACCGGCGAATACGCAAGAAAAAACTTGAAACATGAAGGAACAAAAGAAACTTCCCATCCCAATGCAATACCAGATATATAAAAATTACCCAAAGGAAAAATAAAGAAACAAACATCCACGCAGTGATGCCAAGCCCAAAGAAAGAAATCCCAAAATATCAGACTTTTGAAAATAACCAAGTCATGACCAGTACCCGGTCTGTCCCACTGAAAGACTCGCCACTCAACACCAGATCGTTAACATAGGAAATATTGACAAAACAAAAAACGATAACTAGATGTTTTGAAACTTCATAGGAGCCAGTTGTGCATTTCACACAGACTTGATGAAATTGGCCCTCTCGATTTCGATTTCGGCTTGAAGCTTTCTTGTTTTACGAAGAGATTCATCCCTAAATAAAGATTAGCCTGGTAATTTCACATTGCAACAAGTTATAATACCTTTCATTTTGTAGCTCCATAACCTCGATTTGGGCTGTGTTCATTTTCCCGACAACCTCTGCCATCTCGTTATCAGCCTGGCCTAGGGCCTTCTCTAGCTCATCAACGCGCTTCTCCAAGTATTCAATTCTTGAAGAATCTGGGATTGATTGCGAAGGTTTCTTAAAACCAGTCCATTCTAGCCGTGGTGATCGCAGCATGGGAGATAATGGTGATCTTGCCGCAAGCCCAGTGGGCGATCCCATCGCTGTTGTTTTCAGTCTTCGAAGTTGAGAAGTGTGTGTATCCTTAAGTTTTCGTACTTCCTCTTCATGGCGAGCAACAGCTTCTTCAGTTTGCTGCTGGGCTTCGAGGACCTTGTCTTCCAAGACTCTAAGCCTCTCCTGAAGCTCATTAATCTTTTGTGCTGATAGCTTCTGGTCCTCTTCTCCCCGGCCAATGGCCTCCGCCAGTCTATCCCTCAGGGAGTTGTTCGATTCAAGTTGAGAACGAACTTGTGCTGCCAATTCTCCAATCCTCTCTGTTGATATTTTCAATTGGATACTAAGGCTTCTTTCCTCAGCAAGGTGTTTCTTCTCCGAATTTTGGAGTGACTCTGCACGCTTCCGGTACGCTTCCGCTTCAACCTGAGCCTCGTCCCGCTCAGCCTCCGCTTGAGCAACACCTTGCATTAGTTTGGTAATGGCTCGTTGCGACTCCGAATGCGCCTCTGAAAGTTTCTTTTCTCGATCCGTAATGTCCTCGGAAAGATCGTTTCCTTTCTCCTCCAGCTCATCTAAGCGCGCCAGTGATCTTGCATGTATGTCTTGTAAATCATTGTAGGCTCTCTGCAGAGAAAGCGATGTTTCTTCGCTGGCTTTTTCTTGTCTCAGGTGTGACATCTGTTTGGACTGTCGGAAATAAGAATCACGTAATTCCGAGTGTCGGCCAACGAGTAAATCGTGTTCTTGAAGCAGGGCTCTCAGTGTGGCAGTTTCTGTTTCAGCTTGTTCCAGGTCCATCTTTAATGTCCCAAGATTTTTTTCGCATCTGACCTTTGATTCAATTGCCTCATCGGCCCGGCGGCGTAACCGCTCCATCTCTTTCCTTATTGTGCTCATTTCTCGGTCTTTACCATAACGCCTATTGGTTTGCTGTAAAGCCTTATCACGCTCTAGCTCCAAAGCCTTTATCCTCTCCTTGGCTCTCTTATTTTCATATCTGTGTCGCTCTTGTAAACTCTTCAGCGCAGAATGTAAAGCATCTCTTTGTTCCTCGATGCCCTTCACCTTCTCTGCGAGGGTCTCTCTATCCTTAAAATCTAGGGCTAGAGGCATCGTCGAGATAGGTGAGCCCATCAAAGAAACAGGACGGGATGGTCTTCCAATAATCGACTGTCGCGCTTGTTTCTGTACGGCCGATGTTTGGATTGCTGAAGCTTGAACCTGAATCGCTGAAGCTAAAGAAGCATTCTCATTTCGAAGGTTGAGAAGTTCCTGCTGCATTTTCGAGTGCTCTTCTTGCATTTGCGTGTGATCCTGCTGTATCTGGGTGTTCTCGTACATACCCTTCTGTAATTCTGATGTTTCCGACTCGAGTCCCTCGACGCGTGCTCGTAATCGAGGTACGATCTCATCACGGAGGTTATCACGTTCATTTCGGAGCTCCTCTAGTTCACTTCGAAGAGCAGTAAGAAGATCTTCATAATTCTCCTTCATCTGGCGTTCTTCTGCAAGTCTTCGCCTAGCATCCTCCAGTCCTACCTCCAACTCCTTAACTCTTCCCGAGGAACCTGCAGTCAAAAACTGAGCACTCTCACGCTATATATTGGTAAGCAATTTGTTCAACGTAAGCAAGAATATGCAGAGAAATTCCTACCCTCGCAGATTGCTCTTCCATTTCTTTTACTCGTGCTTCAACTGCCTTTCTTCGTTCCCTCTCTTCTTGAATGCTACTTAACATTTCTAATCGTACTCTTGAAATATCCTGTTCGGCCTTCCGTTGCATCTTATCTACGTCAACCTCTTGCTTGGTTTCTGAATCTAAATATCGTGTAGAGGTTCCAGCATCCGAGAAGTAATCACTCGTCCTTTTGCTCTCGCCATTCCGCTCCGCGGCCTCTGCTTGCAAACGCTCAATAAGGTCTTCTAACTCCATTTCTCGACGGATAGAGGCAGCTAAGTCTGCGGAAACTAGTCGCACCTCTTGCTCAATAGCATCAATTGCTGAAGGGGTTTGAGGGGCAAAGGAAACCCCTGAGTCGGAATGAAGGCCATCGGAGGCTGCAGCATTTGCGCGAGGAATGTCAATTGCTGGGGGTATAGATCTTGATGAATATAGTTGCTGCGTGTTGGTAGACTTTGGTGAAGGTACCGGTCTTTCAGAAATTGAGGTAGATGGTGATAATGGCACGATTCCCCCTTGATCGGAAGCACTTCCCCACCGGAGAAACGAGGTTATTCTAGCACTTGGTGATCTTGGTGGCTTATTTGCTTCCTCAGTAGCTTCTGATATCGATGGAGAGCGACTGCGAAAGGGAACATCCGGGAGATTTAAATTTGCCGGAATCGTCGGCGAAGAATCTGACGCTGCCGAAGAGCTTGCCATTGTTGAGGCAGGCCGCCGGTGCGGTGGGTCGATATGTTGGTTACTTTTGTTTACTGAAGATTCGCTCCAGACTCTCGCATGACTTGTGTGTGAGGTCAATGGAGATGGTGGATAAACTCGTGGTGTAGGAAACTGGACTCGAATGTCAAATTCACCATGTGAGTCGGCAGCCCAGCGACCTTGTCCAAGATTGGGGGAGTCTCCGTGAGGGAATCTAGAGAAGAGAATATATGTCAGAGGAATAGGTCTTCGGAACATGCCATGGAGCTTGGTTGTCCGTACTTGTCGAGATCCCGTATGACAATGCCGTCTGAGTCTAGTGGAGGAGAATGTTCTAAGAGACCTTGAGCACGGTTACTTGAACTTTTTTTATTTAAAGATTGTTGTAGACTCGGTGACTGGTTGCCGCCAGAGGGAGGGAGAGGTTTGCGGCGTACAAGAGAGTTTGAAGAAAAGGGAGGAGACTCCAACTGCTCGTAGGGTCGAGGAGGAGATTGGGGAGGTAGAGACGGGAGAGTAGAGGGGCCGTGTGCATCCATTTTTGAGGTTAGACCTTCGGGGGGGGGGGGGGAGGGGATGTAGAATCAATGCTTTTCTCTCACTATTTCTGGAAGAATAGAATGTCAGCGCACCGGCAGAACAATACGGGGCCAAAAATCGTGCATAAATTTATGTATGAATATGGAAAAGAAAAGGGGCCCTTGATAATGAGAAAGAGAGACGGGAAATTTCGGGTTGTAATGAACAGTGATGCACTAGAGATGTTGGGGAAATGGAGGGTCCAATCACCCACCTGCACAGGCCAGATCAAATCTAACGGGCAACACCTGGTGAACGTATGTATGCTATCTTATAAGTTGGGTGGACCGTGGGGCCTCCAGGGCGGTTGCACGGTTCTACAAGGGTTAGCGGATCGAAATGGTGATGTTCTTTGGACTTTCCCGAAGTCAGTCGGTCAAAGCAAGGTGGAGAATTTTGCAAGGCGCGAAGTTCTTTCTAACATCCAAGTAGGTCCTTTTGATATCTCAATACTACAAGAAACTACTTGTATAATCTGGTTGCTGCTGTGAAGCGGTAACACGTCTTTGTTCAAGAGATGATGGACGTTACTTAATTAGCGGTCCACCAAAGCTTGCTTAGCCTGAGCAAGTGCTGAGTTCTGTTGTCTGTTGTAGAAGTAGTAGAAGTAGTAGGTATGATGTATGTACAGCAAGCACAGGGACCAAGCTTCAGGAATCGAACTCATGAATATGAAGGGCAAAATCGAAAGAGCTTGATGTTTGCCTTCCCGATTGCTTGCCAGAGGCGCCCGGTGTTTGACTGGCTGGGGCTCTCCTGAACCCCTACCATCTGACATGGAAGGAAAATGGTACCAAATCCTGTTTGGGCTTGACCTCCTTCAACGCCTACTGGTGGCGCTGTCGAGTACCTAAGGCTTGAAGGCACCCCGATGCTGATGGGGAGGTTTTTTCTCCTTCGCAATAAGCTCTAACGGTCGTGTAGAGGTGGTGAGCTGTGGAGACAAGCTGCTCGAGATCATGTTCTACAAAATCCTTTCTTCCCTTCTTCCTTTCTATGCTAGAAAGTATTTCGATAGCCCACCTTTCCAACATTTCTCGGGCTACATCGTTGACCTGTTGAAAATAAGACATGCGACGTTAGGAATGCTCATGTCGACCGGAATAGGCCTGGGTGTTGCCTGCCCCGCCCAATAAACCCTGGGTTGCCCCTGAATCTAGCCATAAATGGAAGTCTGCGTCTCGGTGATCAGCTTCTCCTACGTTCCGAGTTGTTGTTTCCGGATTGGTGGCGGCGTCTCAACCGCCCAAGTAAAGAAAACGAAATTGGCGCTGGACACGTTGAAGCCTCATATCCATCGCCACAGCACAAGTAGGTACATGTAGGTACACAGTGCTAAGCGGCACTATTGGCGCTTCTGTACATAAGTTTTTTCCCCTGATAGCAACATGTATCTTTATTCCTTGTGAAGATAAGGAGGTCTTCGTAATAATAGAGTACATGTAGTTCAGCCTTCCCGTGGTTCGTAGGTACATGTATGTATGTAGAGGTAAGGATCCCAAGCAGAGAATTTGAAGACGGTGAGTGGTTGGTAATCCTTCGGTGAAGATTTAGGTTGATAATATTTGCTCGGTCAATAAAAAGGGAAAAATACTACGGTACATGTACTTCTGAATACAGAAATGCAATAGAGTACATACTCTGCATGTTATATATCTGGTATTCTATTTATTCTATTAGGCAGGCGTAGCACTTAGGGTTAGGGTTTTAATGCCTATTTGGCTCCAGACGCGACTCACGCGAATGAATGATTAAACAAAGAGATGCGATAGCTGGACCTACATTCCTCCAACGAAAGTTCATTTCGAATCCTTCATAATCGGCATGGCTCACCATACTCCAGAATACGATGGCTCTCTTACTATCTCAAGTACGATGGTCCCAACATCATCGCGGAAGAGAAAACGTGAAGACGAGAAATCAGTGCTCGGGGATCCTTTCGTCATTAAGGTAACTCCATTTCGCTCACCCCACCATCTCAGAACCTCGGTTTTTGATATAAATTTCATTTCGCACCGCTTCTAACTATCACTTCCTATAGCCCTATTCATCTTCGGTTTTTGATCCCTCGGTCAAGCTTACTCCAGCCGTTGTTATCCCACGCTCCTATATCCCACTGCAATGGCTCGCCGGGTATCCGTCACGTCTATTCTCGATACCAACTCAAATACAGGCCTTGGATGTTCCCGGAAATGTCATCATCGTAAAAATAGACGGGGAACGGCAGTTAGCTGCTGTTGAAAAGGTCAAGGATGATGTTTGCACACTGTACAAACTATCGACGCAGCTGAAGATGAAGGATGTCCGTAAAACGGCTTCACTTATCAAGAAATCACGCCAAAACCCGGAGCAAACCTCTGAAGACACAGATTCTATGACAGAAATACTAAGTGCAGACTGGTGGTCAGGTTTGGAAGTGCCTAATTTTGATATAAACAACGCCATATGTGCAGAAGAGCCTACTATCAAACTGATCATGGGCTGCTCAGACCTAGATGTCTGTCAAGACAGCACGCTCTTACCGTACGTCGATTTGTGACATGTAACGTATCAAATGCTAATATTATATTCCTAGAATCCAACCAAATGCACCGATATCCCCTCCAGCAGCCGCAGACACTCCTTTGAAAGTGGTAGAGGACTTTCCAGAGCCCACTTTAACTGATATTCTTGAAAAGACTCGAGTGCAATATTACAAAACTTTATATATTGCCAAGACCTCTCTTGCGTATTTCGCCAAATCAACCCTCTCACGAGCTCGTGTGGCTGTGCAGCATGAACAAGGAAGCGAATTATCAACATCCTTAGATTCCAGTAACAGATTCCGCACTTTTTTACTAGATATGTATCTACCGTTCAATAAGATGGACTCCAAATATCGAAAATCGATGGTTCAAGTTGCTACAGAAGACCCGGTAGAGGATATATCTGACTTTAGGGTCGGAGAGGAGGAATATGTGCAACAGTGGAGAGTTGCTACATGGGAGGAGAGACTGGTACAGGCTAACGATCCTGTAATGAGGCGGAAAGTGGAGGAGCTCAAAATTAGAGAGTATGTTTTCAAGATCCTCTATTGACATCAAATGCTAAGAGTTGGAACAGGACCGAGCTGCAAATCATCATCTTGCTTGAGATGCTAGCACTGGAACGAGAACAGGCAGCATTGGCAAAACGATTGCCAATCAAAAATCAATCATCCGGAAGGAAGTGTAAAAAGGAGGCCAAGAAGAAAGGGAAAAGAAAGTCCAAGACTAACGAACCAGATCCTAAACTCCTCCTTGATCTGCTCGTTGATCGACTCTGTATTTGGAGATCTATAGGCTCAAGTCCAGAAGTACTGGATGAGGAATCTTCTGATCAGAAGAAGGTTACTGATAGGGAATATGACCATCTCAGACATTTCTGCGTGGAAGTGGTCTTAGCATTGTAAGTTCCACGACTCTTCTGAATTTGCCTTCGCTAATAAAATGAAGTTACGCGTCGAGGCTTCCAGAAGAATGCGCTGCCATTAATAAAAAATGTGGAGGGTCGAGCTCAAGAACTCGTACCCCGGGACAGCCCAAGAAGGAAAGAAAATCACAGACAAAAAGACCTCCTGTGACAAGGGTCTCCACTGCGCCGGCTGCTAACTCTAACACGAGAGAAGCCAGTGTAGACACACTGGCAGCCCTTGTTGCAGCTGATGCAGCTTCCTTGCCAAGAAAAAATGTTCGTGGAGGAACGCTCAATTGTAAGAGTTTTGCGAAACGAGAGGTGCAAATCACTTCGAGAAGCGGACAGCAGAAGAGGGTGGATGAGGAGTTGAAGGAAGCTATAAACGCTTTGAAGAAACCCAATCGCATTGCTGCGGCTTCTGGACTGGTTGATGAGTCGATGAAGCGGGTCTCTAATAACAAGAGTAAATCTCACTCGAATGATATGTCGCAGTGGAAGATTGCTAAGAAGAAACCAGAGTCGAAGAAATCGGCCAGGAACCCTCTAGCGAAAATTCAGGTTATGGCCACTCCGAAGCGGAGGAGGACGATTATGCCTCCACAGCCCTCCCTTCAAACTGTGGCAGAAGATTCATCTAGCTTACATGCACATGACCCGTTCTATGCCCCCCGAGTACCCAATCCAAGAGCTTTACGTGATATCCCTGGCACGCCGCTCCGACGGGGCAATAGTAGGATGGATTTTGATGTTGTTCCCGCGACCAGTCCCTTCCAACCACCATCAGAGACCCGAAGAACTGCAACATTCCCAGGTGGGTTTACAACGCCGCAAAAAAAACAGCCTCGCTCTTTAGGTGCCGATTTAGGATCCAACTTTGTCCCTTCGTCAGCGACAAAGAATCCTGTAATTCTACCTCATAACGATACCCACCCGTCCGGAGTCTCCAAATTTATGGAAAAGAATCCTTTTGACCCGACAGATGAGCCGTCATCTCCCGCGGGAGGCGTGATGCTTTATGATACTGATGCTATTGGGGAAACACCTTGTAAATCTTTTGCACCAATGGCTAGGATGGTTGAAGAAAAGAAAGAGATATCGATATATAACAGTTTGGGATGGGATGATGATGATTATGACCTATGAATTGGAGCGAATTGGCGTTTTCCTTCCTCACATGATTACCTGTGTCGTTGTCATTGACACCACATTCCTGCCTCAATTAATTACATATAAACTGGAGTTGGTTTTTGGCCTTAAAAATATAATTTTGTTATTGAGGCCCTGTATTTTTAGACGTAGACGTTGAACTCGCTAGCTGTGTGAAACGATGTTTACCCCACTCAACCACAATCTTCTCGGAATGTTTATTCACATGTGTGTATACCTTTATGCATTACAAGATTTAATACTTCCTGTGCTCGCACTTGTTGGTAACCTCCACAATTCTTCTTATTTCGAGCCTAATAGCCCCAGGCTTTTGACATCTGTCTCGCCTTCGGGTCGGACTCCAGAAGCGAAATCAGGATCAGTCTTCGCGCGGCGGATATATGCAGATTGAATGGCCTTCGCTTTCGCAAGCTAGAAATCACTAAGATATCAGTATGAGTTCATTCTAACCCTCCCCCCTACGTAAGCTAGAGTAGCTCTGTTCCTTTCATATAGGTCCCACGTCGAAGTGTGGAGGGAGATTGGATGCATCCATTATTTACTGACCTCCTTTTTGTGATGGAGACATTCGTAGTAGTCGTCATGTTGAGGGGCACACTTCCATTTTCCCTCATCGCTCCCAGAGTTTGTATTCATAACGTAGCAGGCCAACATGTCTTGCCAGAATGGAAAACACTGGGATGATACATTACTGTCAGTTCGTATCGTTTGCAATCAGACGTGGAAACCTACTCTACCGACTCCTATGGACAGACGTGATCAGTTTTAGTTTTTTTTCCCCCATTGAGAGCATTCCCCGGAACGCGGGGGAAAAGAGGGGCCCACGTACCGCCATGAAGACCGTAACCAGAAGCCATGGTGTTTTAACTTTTTCAGGTATCAAAAGAAGAGTCTCGGGCGCTGGTAACGATTTAAAATATGGGAGATTTGAATAGAGGTTGAGAAAAACCGGGATGATAGTCAGTACCTAAGTCGAGCTGTCCGTCAATTATCGCACTTCAATTGCCGAGAGCTGCAGTAACGAGGGCTTGGCGAAAGTTGGCGCTGCCGTGGGTCGCCCTTCTCCCCATTAGATGGTGGATACATGTAGATGCACTCCTAGCAGTGGCGTCACTGGTCACACTTCTTCGGCTTCCCCAGCCTCTGTGCCAGGATCAAGATTCAGCATAACCTGTGTAGTTACCCGCTGCTTTCCCCATTTTACCTTCTCAATCTCACCCTCGCCTCCACCTCCTCCTCCTCCTCCGCTCGCTCCTCCCTCGCTCTCAGCGCTCCAAACCTCCATATCTATTTTCCTAAAAGCCCTTTATATATCTACATTTCACACAATGAAACTCACCACTGTTGCTATTTCTGTGTTCGTCGCGTCGGCCACTGCCTCGAACTTCTTCCAGCAGCTCGCCGGAAACTCAAACCCGTCGGTACAGAGTGGTGCAAAGGTCCCCGGGGAATCTCCGCTATTCCACTGTGGACCTACCGACGACGATGTTCTAACCATCGATAAAGTCGATTTGGTCCCGAACCCACCTATTCCGTTAGTCGCTTCCAATAATAACCACCAGCCCGCAATATGCTAACTCCAGTTCTAGTGGACAACCGCTCACGATCGAAGCCTCTGGCACTCTCCACAAGGCTGTTGAGGCAGGTGCTCAGGTTGAAGTCACTGTCAAATATGGTCTTATTACTCTGATCAAAGAGAGACTTGACCTCTGCGACCACGTCAATGAGGTCGATCTTGAGTGCCCCATCAAGGCAGACAAGATGGTTTTGACCAAGGTGGTTGATATCCCGAAACAAGTTCCTCCCGTAAGTGATACATTCCTCTTTTTACCAACATGATTCGCGACCGTATAGGGCACCTTGCTCTTATACCGCTCCGATCGTTCTTGTGGGGCTTTCGTTAACAACCTTCTGGCACAGGGAAAATACAACGTTGCCGCAAATGCATATCTGGAGGATGGGGATCCTATCACTTGCCTCGTTGGCCAAGTCATATTCACTCGCTAAATAGGCAGGCCACCGGGTCGTTATGGAAGTTGTGAACCTATGCCTTAGTATGGCATACTTAATGTGTTATGCTTGACGGAGCCGAGGAATTATAAGTATCTCCTTTATGGAGGCTGGGCCGCTTGAAAGGTTGTTATTGGACTTGTTATCATTATTATGCGTTTTCTGCTTTTGTTATTAGTTTTACACTCAGCACGCATACCTTGCTTTTTTACTTTCGCCGTGCTCATTTTATGCTCCAAAAGGTACTTTCTATTTACCATTTCAACAACTGTAGGTGCTTGGTGGCTCTTGGTGTTATTTTGAATATTATTTGCCTCTCTGAAGTCTTATTACGAAAATTGCGACTTAATCCCCTGAAGGTGCACACGTAGAATCCAAACCTACATGTACTTTGTTGGTACGCCTGAATGCAACGGTAGATCTAAAACCATGTACCTACCTCCGATTCGCAGGGAAACTAAAACTTTATGCCGGGTGGGCAGGTACCAGGTAATGCAGGTTTCTAGTCCACCAATGAGTGCGCGCGCTAGGCGTCAACTACTGCCTGCATTGTCCGGTGCCCCTAATACCTGACAACCCCCAGTCAGGATTCTTCTTCTAGAGTACTATCCCCCAAGCGAAGAATTCACAGTACCTACATGTAGTATAAGGCTCCAGTAAAAAAAAACTATTATGTAGTCGGCAAGAACTGTGTAAGCGCTTAGATATATCAGGCCCTCCAAAATATAATATCCGATGATTCCAGGGTGTCATAAGGCAGTTGTTGTTTCGATGGATAATTATGCTATAATAATATTCATTTATTTTGATCGGTCTGAAAATATAGGCCGTGATTTCCATACAGCGTCTGTACATACATGCATGTACTTGATGCAAGGTACCCTAATGATTGGACCGAGTGATACTCTATGAAGAATATTACAATCAGCCCATTGGTTTCGGCCTTCGCCCCACATCCATAGTCACGTGAAATATGAATGTCCGGGACAGTGACTACATGTAGGTATAATTAATACTTGGATTTAGAATTTAGAACAGCGAATAACCAGGCGTAAGGGTTACAATCTAATGGGGTGCTATTGCGCAAGACTAATTATAATGTCATGACTCATGTACATACATGTAATATGGTGAACTATGTACATGTACATAATGCGGACGAGGACGACTACAGTGCCGGAAAGGTTGGTGAAATTGCAGCAGGATTCATACTCGGCTGTAGTAATGCTACAGCTTTCCCCGGTATTTATGGTAGCACGTGGGTTGGTTGCATACATGTATCATGTAGGTATTCTCACACGATGCCGCATCATGATCACTCACACGCGAATTACATCTCATTTTCCTGTATTGTAAGTACATTTACCTGTATTAAGTTTAGCTTGTAGTTAGATGATTCGAATAGCACATTCACAAACTCAAGGTCCATATTAACCTGATGAATAAAATTGTTCAGCTGAAGTTTAAAACTAGTACTACGACCACAAATAATAGGCGTTTCAAAACAAAGGTGACACGATCTAAATTAAATATTTCCATTTTTGTATTTTCTCCATAATCTCGGAGTTCTAACTTCTTTGAGTCCTCAAGCCTAAGTGTGGAACATCATGAAGAACACTACTAGAATAAATAAATAAAAAAAACTTTTGAGGTGGAATTATCTATTAATATTTGGCATCTGCTAAAAGCCAAAGTATGATGTAACCAGATGAATCAGGTCTTCTTTTATTCCAAAATAAACGCCTTTCGAATAGGGTTCAACTTTAAGATAGGTTTGTGCTCAATTATCGGAGGTATCGTTTGTGAGCGAAAGGTATGTGTTCCACGCGATACCGACGGTGGATGCAAATGGCTATGCTAAAATGTAAGTTATATGATACTCGGGGGAATCAACAGAAGACTGACCAATTGTAACGCGAGAGGTACAAGACGGAAGTTAAGGATTTGCACAGCTGGCCAGATAATATAATTTACTTTTCTGTTGCAATCCTTTAGGTTAAACCGTGTACAATTCGAGAACTGAAATAAGAAGGGGTTCTTACAAAACAGGAGCATAGGCAACACTGAACTTTCGGGCTATTGCCTTTTTCCCGCCTCCTTCTGCCAGTGTCATGTAAATGAAGAAGATTGCCAAGGCTACAAGGATTATCAGTAAGATATGTAAATACTTTTCGTCCAATCGTATGTATGAACTTACAGATAGGGGAAAAAACCACTTGGTCGAGAAGAACACGCAACAAAGCAGGGCCAGTTCTGTTCTCCGGCGTTATGGGGAAGATCTCAGAGAGAAATTCAAACCACGAGAATGACACTGGCGCCATGATTAAACCTGTTATTTTGTTACTCCACTGATCCTATCTAGTTCTAGTTGCAGAAGGTAAAAGACATACCCCATGCCATGAATCTTATCCATCTCTCAAAATCAAAGCCTAGTTGGGTACCGACAAGGTCCCCTCGATGACTTGGAAGAGGGCCTTTTTCGTTTAAATCATGAATCTCTATCGAGATGCCATCCTTTTTGGAAGAATCCAGCGGCTTCCGAAGAGACTTTGCTTGTACAGAAGACACGATTTGGGCAACAGTATCTGCTACTCCGCCGAGTATCTACTGCCAGACATTGGGTTACGGCGTAAGCTTTCAGTCACAACTTTGTTTCACCCCTTGGAAAGAATAAATCGCACCGCGTTCGTAACCATCATGGTTAAAATTGGTTTTGCAGCAAAGTGTAGATCAAATTGAAAGGCCAGCTGCGCCAGACCAACTATTTCAGCAAGCATGATAATCGCGTGCACAAGGGGCTACATCCAGGTAATGCATTCCATCAGCAGCTGCGGTGATTTGAGAAAGGAATTGATAGTAGCTATGGGAGAAATAAGCGCACCACGCGACCACACAGATAGTGATTATTAGCTGATCGAAGAAGACGGAAGCGAGTAGTGGTAGACATTTCTACGAATAATAACTATATGGGGGGAAATATGTACGGTGGACAAGTGATGGTAGAGAGATAAGGGGTTGTATGCAAATGTGTGATCGATAGATTTGCGGAGCGTATTCTGCGCTCGTTGTTGAAGGGATGTCGCCAGATTCACGGTCCTGTATGGGTTGAGTGAATAGGACAGCTAATATAGATAAGCTTGGATAAAATGTACTCACTAGAGTACATGGTGGTGGGTGATCCTTGTGTACATGTAGTGTGGAGAGGAGAGACAGTGTGATCTAATCTGATAAGATGCGGCTGATATAGGCATAGAATTCTGCTGACTCAGATATTAGGTCCTGGCATTGGTTAGTGCCCGTCTCTCTCCTGCTGCTCCTGGTACAGTTGCTCTGTTGCTCTTCCCGTTTTCCTCCCCTTCCCCGTCGTCGCTCTTCACCCAGCTGCTGGGTACAGTACATACCTACGTCGGCCGCCCACCCTAACCCCCACAACTCCTTCCCGCAACCACCACAACCTCCCACCGTCCTTCATCACCCAACCACCTGCAACCTCGCACGAAATATCCTCTCCCCATAAAGTGCGCCATAGCGATACCGTATTTATATTCGGATCGTCTAGTCGAGCTGCAAACCATGTCTGGTGGGTCTCCTTTTTTTTCTATCGTGTTTCGCGCGTTGTTGTTGCAAAAATTCTTGTCATCCTCGTGCATCCCGCTCGCTCGTCCCTCCATCTTGAATCTATCCCCAAAGGTACCCGATGGCCATTCCCTTGCATGCCACCCCTCAAAACGTGCCTGCTGAAGCAGGTGACGTTACTGTCCCGCTTTTATCTTTCGTTTTTACCTGTAGCCTTTCCAAGACTTCTTTCACCCCCCGCTACCTTCCATCTTGAGCTATCATCAACATCGAGTCCTGCATCCCCGAAACTTCTTCCTGCCTCGTCTAGTGCCTCCATCTTCTATCTGATGCAATCGTTTTTGTCGCCTCACTCTTGATGACCTCTGGCAGCTTTCCGCTGCTTTCTAGGTGCCTTGTGGGCTTGATAATGGTGCTGACGTCCAATTACAGAAGGTAGCGTGGTTATCCCGTCTCCCCCGGACGACCCAAGTTTCGTCACGTCCCCTCCGGACACCTCGTACCCTATTGTAAACCATGCATCTAGTCCGGAAAACTCTTCGGAAAGCGAGGCTGGCTTGTCAGATGCAGAAGAGGAGCATACACCACAACAGGAGTCGGCCTCGACTCCCGAATCGAATCATGACGATGACGAAGAAGTGAGCTCGGACAATTCGTCAGATGATGATGTAGAAGGTCAATCGGAAGATGGAGATTACGAAATAGAAACACCGCTTGAGGAGCCAGTTGAGGACAATGGGTACGAAAGTACAGTGAAGTCTGCGAAAGAGTCACGGAAGACTACCAAGATTAGAGTTGCGGATGATTACAACGAGAATCCAGACCTATATGGCCTACGCAGAAGTGTAATTCTTATCTAAACCATCCTATGGTACATCATATTGACCAATTACTTCTAGGAACGAGCTCGCCCGACTGCACGACTGACTGTAACCATCCTTCCCTGCTGATCCTATGGCATGCCTTGAGTCAACCTGAAAAACGCATCTAATATATTTGACAGATTGATACCTCTAGTTCAGAGTCAGATGACTCGGAACCAAAAAGCAGTCGTTCACGTAAAAGGCGGAAGCCTGCTCCCACAAAACCATCTAAATGTTAGCGCTCCCAAGATTACCGCCGGAAAAGAGGCTGTACTGACCCTATTATTCAGCATCTAAGCTTCCTTCGCCAATGCATGAATACAACTCAACCGACGAAGATGAAAGCGAGGATGAGTACGGAGTCCGCCCTTCCCACAAGTCACGCAAAAAGAGACGACGCGTCGCAGCTACTAGCAATGATACCCCTCCTGCCGAAGTTCGTTTCTCCACTCGTCGAGCTGGGAGGGTGACGAACTACAATGAGGATGATGAAGATGACTTCGAGGAGGAGGATGCTACCCCGGGATATGAATATCTGGAGCCAGAGCCAGATGCTGGTCCTGGGATAGACCTTATTCTAGATCACAGACCCCGAGAGGGCATAGGTATATTCTTACCCCGAAAACCTCTATTTTCATCTCTAACAAGATCTAGATACCTCAAAACCTCTTTACAAACGTGCCGATCTTGAGTTCCATGTAAGCCCTTTCTACGATTCTTAGCCATGATATTCAATATTCGTGCTAAACTCAAGTAGATAAAATGGCAAGGGCTTTCACATTATCACGCAACATGGGAGTTGTATGAAAACTTGGTCGATTATAAAGGAATAAGGAAATTAGATAACTACATGAGAAAGGTAGTCGAACAAGATTACTATATGCGGATCAGCTCGAACACAACAAGAGAAGAAATCGAGGCGATGGATCTTGATCGTGAACGTGAACGTGACGCAATTGCAGAGTATGTTATCGTGGAGAGGGTCATTGGCCATCAAAATCATGGCGAGGGGTTACAGTATATGATAAAGTGTTTGAAGTCCCTTTTCTCTATGTAAATCGTCTCATCGTGTTAATTCAATGGCTATAGGGAAACGCCTTCCATACGATTGTTGTACATGGGAGGACGAGGACCTCGTTTCTAAAATCGCCCAAGAACAGATCGATAAATACTGGGATCGAACAAACTCTGCACCCTTATCAAAGAAGTCCGAAACTGATACGGGCACTCGCCGGAGTTACCAAAAACTTGATGCTCAGCCAAACTATATCAAGGGCGGTGAACTACGGGACTTTCAAATGAAGGGCCTTAACTGGTTAGCATATAATTGGACAAAGGGCAATAACGGTATACTTGCAGACGAGATGGGACTGGGGAAAACAGTTCAGACAGTGGCTTTTATGAGTTGGGTAGGCAGCCGAGGAGTCCTATCTAAGTTTCGTAACATAGACTGATTGGTGCAAACTTCAGCTTCGACACGATCGGGCTCAGCATGGTCCGTTCTTAGTTGTAGTACCGTTATCTACTGTCCCTTCTTGGGCCGAAACGCTTGAGAACTGGGCGCCGGATATGAACTTTATCGTTTATACTGGTTCTGGTAAGGCACGAGAGGTATTGCGCGAATATGAGATGTTTGTCGATGGGAATCCCAAGAAGACTAAGTTTAATTGTATGGTCACCACTTATGAGTACATCCTAAACGACGCCAATATTCTGCAGCAAATCAAATGGCAATTTCTTGCAGTTGATGAAGCTCATCGACTCAAGAACAAGGACTCTGCCCTCTATGATAAGTTGAACGACTTCAAAGCACCAAGTCGTTTACTTATCACTGGTACTCCCTTGCAGAATAACCTGAAAGAACTCGGCGCACTAGTAGACTTTCTCATGCCTGGGAGGATTCAAATCGATAACGATGTTGATCTGCAATCTGCCGATGCTGCTCGACAGATCGAAGCGTTGCAAGAAACCTTAAAGCCCTATATGCTTCGGCGGGTCAAAAAGTCTGTTGAGAAATCACTCCCGGGAAAGACAGAAAAGATCATTCGTGTCGAACTCTCAGATATCCAGACAGAATATTATAAGAATATCATTACCCGGAATTACGCAGCTTTGAATGCTGGAGCCACAGGACCGAAACAGTCATTATTAAATATTGTCATGGAGCTGAAGAAGGCTAGCAATCACCCGTTTATGTTCCCATCCGCAGAGGATCGAATACTACAAGGCAGTACCAAACGCGAAGATGTCCTAAAGGCTTTGATCATGAGCAGTGGCAAAATGGTTCTCCTTGATCAATTGCTTACAAAACTCAAAGCGGATAACCATCGTGTTTTGATCTTCAGTCAAATGGTTCAAATGCTAGATATCTTAGCAGACTATTTAAATCTTAAGGGATATGCTTATCAACGTCTTGATGGTACAATAGCTGCTGGACCTCGTCGGATCGCGATTGATCATTTTAATGCCAAGGATAGCCCAGATTTTTGCTTTTTACTCAGTACTCGAGCGGGAGGGCTTGGTATAAACTTGATGACAGCAGATACGGTTGTTCTTTTTGATTCAGATTGGAATCCCCAAGCAGATTTACAAGCTATGGCTCGTGCCCATCGTATTGGGCAGAAATCACATGTTATGGTTTACAGGCTAGTATCTAAAAGTAATTACCTCTATCACTGTTAACCTGGAAATGATAAATAACCATCTTTCTTTTAGATACCATTGAAGAAGAAGTTCTAGAGCGCGCTCGGAACAAGATGATCCTGGAGCATTTGGTCATCTCTCTCGGCGTCACCGATAAAGGTATTACGGATAAGGTCAAAAAGAAGGACAAGTTAGAATCTGCAGAGCTTTCTGCCATCCTTAAAGTATGAATAACCCTTAGAATTGATCGGGTATAGACTAACTTTCATCAAGGCACGTGCTTCCAAAATGTTTGAAGCCACGGATAACCAGAAAAAGCTCGAGGAACTGAAAATCGATGACATCTTGCTTAATGCAGAAGACCATATTACCCAAGTGGAGCCCGGTTTAGGCGGAGAAGGAGGCGATGATTTCTTGAAGCAGTTTGAAGTGACAGATTTCAAGGCGGAAGTGTCTTGGGATGATATCATCCCGAAAGAGGAATTGGACGCGATCAAGGGTGCGGAAAAAGTTCAAGAGGTAATACCCCCCCCCCCCCCCCAATTTTGTACGCTGTGGCTAATAGTTAAAATTTAGGAGGAGGAGTTTCTCAACGAACAGATTGAGATGAGCACAAAACGCAAGCGCAGGGGTATTGCAAATGGCGAGCCAGAAGGTCGGTCGGCCAAGCGGCGGGCAAAGGAGCTTTCAGCTGCAAGAATTGATTACAGTGATGATGAACCTGACGAAGATCCTATGAGGCCACTAAACGAGCGTGAAATTAGGAATCTCTATAGGGCTTATGGTCGTTACGGCTGCCTTGATGAGTGCTGGAACGATATCATCAATGACTCTGGATTAGCTAATCGCGACCCAGAGGTGATCAAATCAACGATTGCAGACTTAGTCGCGCTAAGTGAGGTCGAAATCCAAAGGCATCGGTCAACATTCGATGACGGTATCGGAAAGAAGGAAAAGAAAGCGATATTATTCGACTACAAGGGTACTAAGAAATTGAACGCCGAGACAATTGTTCAACGGCCTAAAGAGTTGAAGGATCTTCGAAAAGCCGTCTCCCTCTGCCCGGACCGGTCGAAATTCCGCATTAATGATGTCAAGTCGGTGCACAACTGGTCTTGTGAATGGGGCGCTCGTGAAGATGCCATGCTATGCGTCGGTATCGCCAAACATGGTTATGGTGCCTGGGTTGCGATCCGTGACGATCCCGAGCTTGATATGCAGGGCAAATTTTTCCTTGAAGAACATCGCGTCGATAAAAAGGAAGAGAGGGGGAGAGCTGAATCTACTGCCAAATCGCCTGGTGCAGTCCATCTTGTTCGGAGGGCTGATTATCTGCTCAGTGTTCTAAGGGAGCGTTTTGGAGGTGATGCGCCTACCAGTCAGTCACATAGGAGATCGCCGGATACGAATTCAAGACACCCAAAACGAAATGGTGTATCGGCGGTCGATCGAATTAGCAAGAAAGACAGGGTATCTGCTTCTGCTTCTCCTGCACCGAATCCTAAACGCTACAAGTACAAATCAACTGTCATAGTGGCAGAGAAGCATCGGTCACCAGAGAAACACCGATCATCGGAAAAAAAGGAATCGTCTACCAAACGACACAGGCTCGAAGAGGCAGGCGACAGAGAAAGGAGGAAATCGAAAAGCTCACTGCAAGCCTCTCCCAAGAAAGAGGAACAGCAAAATGGAGAGGTTTCTGAAGAGAAGAGACCGCTCACTGCGGCTGAATTTGCGGCTAGGGTAAGGATTCCTAGTAACAATATTGTCTACAAATCTAGAGCTAAGACATTGCAGAAAAAACTACGGCCTGTTCGTAGCAAACTAAGAGAGCTGGAGAACGTAAAGAAGCTCGACAAGAATATGAGACTTAAAGTTTTGAAAGAAGGACTTCTTGCCGTAGGGAAATTTATCAATACCATCGAGAAAAAAGGGACAACAGAGTACAGAGACCTCTGGTAAGTTCATTATCAAATAGTCTGGTAATGTAACTAATAATTTTTAGGTACATTGCCTGGCGTTTTTGGCCTCATCATGAGAAGCCTTGGGAATCGCTGGCCGAGTTCTTCGGGAAATTGGCGCAAAGCACAGAGGGTGCGGCCAGACAGAATGGCGATTAATACGATTAATGCAGGTGTGATTGTTGAATGTGAAACGGCCTTTTTGTGTTTAAATAGGACAGGGTCATTTTGCTGCTGTTTGCGTTCCCTCTGTCTCCTTCTCGCTCCATCCAAACTACCTATCATATTCGTCCACTATGGGCCGAGTGATATTCTCCCCTTTATTCATTTCTTTATTTTTCTTTACTAGTGGGTTTATATGTTATCTGTTCTACATTATCCTTTTACCTCTGTGGACAGTATGGCAGTAAGTGGGCACATCACGGCGTACATTTGACAATTTTGTTCTTTTAGTTTCTTCTTATCTCATCATTGTGGGTGTACAGTTGGTGTCGGGCCGGAGCGGAAATCTTCTTTCTTCTAATTTGGGGGTATTTTATTATGCTGTTTTGTTCTGCTTCTGGGTTTTTTTGTCAGGCTTCATTTTCTAAATTAATTTCCTGTTCCTCCGTTTTGTTCCGCTGGGTGCATGTATTTACCCCTTGAGGCAGAGAAGTAAGATTTTATGTAGGCAGAAAAGCTACAGCTGTCCTCCATTCCTCCAACCTCTCACATTTTAAGAGAACAGAATAGAAAAAGCTCAATATAAAAAAACCGTAACAACTAAACAGACCGAAGATGCTCTCACGTGGCTTCGGGTATTTATTCAAAAGCTAGGTCATGCACCTGTAACAGTGCCTGCATCCCCCACAAAAAGCTATCGGTAGTCAACCGGCTAGAAGCGGCTTCTATAACAAACCCCGCCGTTACCATTGAGGACCATTCTTCCAACTCCTACAAGTATCGAAGAAGGCACTCGTGTATCATCCCTTCATACAACTATATCAATTTTTCATTTACTTCATCTCTTCTTCGCTGAGATGAAATTAAGTTACGCCCTCAAATCGGTCCGGACACCCCCCTTAAGCATCAATGTCATCACTGGCTTTAATACCATGGCTAGGCCTCAGTTATCCATGCAGCTACTACGGCGTCGAAGGCTATTACCGCAGTCATTGACTATCAGAAAGTTCAGTTCATCTATGAGATTGCAAGAGGTAAAACCATTTCTATTGGCGGATATCGGTGAAGGTTTGTCCATCCGTTCTTGTAGCTTTGTTTCTACAGAATTGTTTGTTGTTTTTGAATTTCTTTGGTGATAATGAGTGTGTCTATATAGGAATACGAGAATGTGAGGTTATACAATGGTTCGTTGAGGCGGGAGCAAGGGTAGAGCAATTCGATAAGCTATGCGAGGTCCAGAGTGATAAGGCTTCGGTAGAAGTAAGAAAATTCTTTGGTTATATCCTGCAGGGGTTCTACGATATCGGATGTATTTCTAATATTACTATCTTAATAGATCACTTCGCGATTCGATGGTGTGATTAAAAGGCTCCACTACGAAGCAGGGGATATGGCGATAGTTGGAAAGGTGTTTGGTTCTCTTATATTTTCCTAATTGATTAGCTAGCTAATACGTTTCCCTCAAACCTAGCCACTTGTTGATATCGATATTCAAGGAGAAATAAACGACACATCACAACTTGGGTCAGCTGAACTTGAAGCTATCTCTGAAACAAAGACAGCAGAACCACATCAGTCGTCGCATGAAGCAATCCCAACACAGCCTTCGGGAAGACATGCGTCAGTCGCAACACCAGCAGTAAGGCATTCGGCGAAGGAGCACGGTGTTGACATAACTCAGGTTTCGGGCACCGGAAAGGATGGACGGGTGCTGAAAGAAGATGTCGTGGCATTCAAGAAGCGTCGGGATTCTGGAGAACTGCCACCGCCAATGGCTGATATCCCTAGGACGGTTCCAGTGACTGAAGAACAGAAGGTGGCTCTTACACCTATTCAAACCATGATGTTTAAGACAATGACCAAAAGCTTGTCGATTCCACATTTTCTTTACTCCGACGAGATTCATCTAGATCCTCTTGTGCGAGCTCGAACCGTCATCAACACATCTCTGAGTAAAGATTCGGTGGTGCATAAAATATCTTACATGCCCTTTATCATCAAGGCCGTTTCTCAAGCCCTCGAATCCTACCCTATCATCAACAGCCGCCTTGATACTGACGACGAGAAACCGCAACTAGTATTACGCCCCCAACACAACATTGGAGTTGCTCTGGATACGCCTATTGGCCTTATTGTACCAAACATAAAGAACGTCAGAAGTCTGAGCATTTTGGAGATCGCAGCTGAGTTAAGAAGACTCCAAGCAGCTGGAGCTGAAGGAAAGCTCTCCCCAGCTGATTTGCAAGGCGGAACAATCACCGTGAGCAATATTGGAAACATCGGGGGTACAGTTGTGGCCCCAGTGATTGTTCCCAGCGAGGTGGCTATTCTGGGTATGGGCCGCGCGCAGACGATTCCTGCCTTTGACAATAATGGCACTGTAGTCCCCAAAACAATCATTAACGTTTCATGGTCGGCGGACCACCGCGTAGTTGATGGTGCAACTATGGCAAGAATGGCAGCCCTGGTGAAGTCCTTCCTTGAGGAGCCTGAGTTAATGATGGCCAGGTTGAAATAATCAGCCCATCCGTTAAGTGGACCTATTCAAGATGGTGGAATTTAATGAGACACGGTAAATCGATGGTTTTTTTTATTTTAGATGCGAGGATATCATTGCGAAGAGTAATGTTTTAAGCATGTTTGTTGATGGTAATATAGCTTAATTCTATCTATATAGTAGCTTCGGAGCATATCTATAGTTATGAAAATAGATTAAGTGTTTTTGTAGCTGGCTTTTATTATCGGGGGCATCATTTTTTGCTTTGTGGGGCAAGGTTGTTTTCGTGGACCCTTGAGCTCGAAATAGTATGTTTAATATTAACCTTTGCACAATCATAGATAATCACTCGGTTGAGTTGAAAGAATACAACCGCAGTCACAAGTAAATGAAAATCAAAGAGGATGACGTTGGGATAAACCAGAGCCTCCAGATTCTAGGCCGTTTTTCTGCGGGGACATTTTTCTTTACCAAGATTATAGACACCATTGGCTACAAATCGAGGTGGGGGCTCGAGCTTTAAGATGACCTTGGCAATCGTTTCGGTTTTGTTGGACTTTTCCGGCTTCGCATACCGCGAACAGTCTTAAAACTGGTCTCGTGGTAAACTTCGTCAGTCAGCCTCGTTTGATATCTCGTGCCTGGATTACAAACAGGACTTGTATCGTGGCGAACCTCAATTGTAGAAGCTCAACGCAATTCAAACGGCTCCAATATCTACCCTTCTTGTGGCCAGCTGACCAGCACTATGCAAGCGGTTCGCCTCACACTTCTTAGAGGCAGGAGAGTTCAGGTATGCAGAGCACCTTAGACTATGTACCATGTATGTACCTTGTAGTTACTCAACATACTTTTTTTTCTCACTTCCTTTTTTTATGCAATGCACGAAAATCCCATCATCCCTACTTTAGAGGATCACTCGCAAGAAATTTCCATCTTCTAACTTGATGCCAATCACCCGTACCCCACACGAACAACTATTGGCCCCAAAAATGGACCCCTGTCCATACATTCGTGGGGGGTACTGCGTTGTAATTTTGATCCGCAGCGAGCGCTTGTTACTTCGACGTTGGCGTGCATCTTGCGTCTCTATTTCATTTTTCCGGACGCGACGCATATCGATTGGAGTGTTTGACTGAGCAACTATTTTGAGGAGAAGGGGGGTCTCTTTTGCAATGCCAACCGATAGGTGTCTAAGTATCTATCGTATCTTACGGTTTTATTTGATATCAACGTCACAGGGGAATTAATAGGCATACATAGGTAGTTGCTTACATGTCGTTCAACAGTTACCGGGGCTCAGCTCCGTCCTATTCAGAATTGGACGTGATGACGATCTACCTATCAATACTTCAACTCAAACGGAGTGACAAACCGCTTCCCCGAGAGAACCCTAGATTTTTATCCACGCATGTGTCGATAACGATACATGTGTACCCCACAGTTTAATCTCTAAAATTTCTTTTGGTCGGATCAATTGATCATCTCATTTTGGGTGAATTACAGAATGTAGGTAGTACAATAACATGCATGCATTATTTAGAGAGAGAAATATCATCGATTTATGATAAAGAAAACCAAAGACCAAAAAAAGAAAAGAAGAAAAACAGCTTATTTTACTCCCTAATTCAACCGTGAAGTCTGACCCCTAAAATGCGAACTGTGAATACAAATCCATTAATAAATATGAAGAACACCAGGACCACTCCCAAAAAGTAGACAAAATGCAAACGCTGCTTTATAGGACATAGGAACCACGCCCAAAGTAGGAAATAACAGAAAAACGAAACATGATAAATACAACCCTTAAACCCCATCAACGAAAGAAAAAAGGAAAGAGAAAAAAAAGCCAACTTCTAATCCGATTCCATGCATTCCTGAACCTTTTGCAGCGCCAGACTTTGTACTTGTGAAGGAGTACCGCTGACATCAACATGAACAACGTCCACCTCGGTTTCGTCTGGTTCTTCGAGGGCGGTAAACTGGCTGTGGACCATGTCGTCCTTCATGAAGTGGTCCTTGCGGGCGCGGACCCGGGAGAGCAATAGCTCTTCGCTAGCTGCCAAGTAGACAAAGCGAACGGCAACATCGTCCGCTTCCCGACCAGCAATTCGAATGACATCGCGATATCTGCGCTTGAGGCAGGAGCAGGTGACAACACAGCCCTCGGCTCCTTGTTCAAGTTCCTCGACGGCCTTGTTCCGTAGAGTTTCAAGCCAATCCCAACGGTCGTCGTCGGTCAAGGGAATACCGTTCGCCATCTTCTCAACATTTGATTTAGGGTGGAACTGTAGAAGACTTATTAGCTAGATATTACACCAGGATTATTGAAAATAAAGTCTACTGACATCATCCCCTTCAATGAAGCGAAGATTGAGCTGCTTTGCTATAAATTGGGCAACCGTTGATTTCCCACAGCCGGCAGGGCCGGTGATAATCCAAATATGACGAACTTGCTGCTCAGTTGTCACCGAATGGATATTCCCTAGGAGGTGTGCAGCAGATGGCTTTGGCGAAATAACTGAACCAGATCTATCGCCGCAAGTGAGCATGTTGAGGATTTTGATGTGAGTAGTGGTGAACTGGTTTCTGATAAAAGGGTCAAGTTTAAGAAGGAAGAGAGAACTGAGGAATGGGTGAAGGAGGTTGAATTGCGAAAGCAATGCTTATATAGGAAGAGCAGATATGATGCAATGGCTGGGTAGATTTTGAATTGTTGATTGATTTGATTTGCTTAGCGTATAACTAAGGATCCCCCAAAACCGGCGGGCTGTCTGAAGCTTTAAATACTTGTAGATGGTGCCTGGTAGGATGAATATGTTCATTTGGGTTAGCTGGCCACTCAGTGCCAGTGCCACTCAACCTCCTTCACCAACCTGTCTTGATCCTGGGTGATTCCCTCATGTACGTAGTAGGTTGTCTCGCTAGTCACGCGGGAAAAAAAAGCAAGTTGCTAGAGTACAGCCAGCTTGGTAAGTTAGTGGTAAGTGGAAGGGAAAAAAAAAACAACTCCAGAGAGCCCGGGCTCAGGACTCCGACTCGCAGTGTTCCCACCCAGGTCCCGCCGGTCTAAGCGGAAATGCCGTATGTACGAACTCGCAGCTTTTTCCATTCCCTACATCAACTCCCTCAACCCCCTCCTCTCTCAACCCCGCACGCCACCGGGGGTTCCTCTTTGCGGCTTTTGCAGTAGGTAGGTGAGCGGGCGCGGTAGGTACTAGGTAGTCGGAGGCATCTCGCTGGGCGCAGTAATTAACGGAGATACATTTTCATCTCCTCTACTCTAGTACTCACGACAGGCATGAAGTACCCGAATATGCAGCTGCAAGTTTTTGGTGTATTTTTGACTTCTACTCCAATGGAAATTGCAGATTAGGACGTGCATTTTCGGGTACTTGTTACCTGCTGCGAGTACATACTGCGAGAGGGGGAGAAAAACGACAGGTCCAAATTTCAATAATAACTCACTCTAAGAGGTAACCTGCAAATGGGTAGTGCGGAATCACGAAGCAAATCAAAAGAGAGCGGGACTCGGAGTGAAAGAAAGTTTCCTCAAGGAACTTTGTACATACTGGACAGGGAGACGTTGTGGAGTGGATGGAACAAAAAAGCGTGGGGGAACAGCACGGGAGGGAGCAAGGATTATACTTGGGGGTTATTTTTTATTGGGTTGCAGCAGTCTCAGCAGACAAGAATTGTTAGGTGATGCACTCCTTGACTGGCCGATAGCGCCTACTGTAAGAGTAACGCTCTACTTTAGCAGCAGGCAACACATGTACCTATTGCACAAAGCTCAGCTTTCACCCATAAAGTACCTATTGAGAGTACTCTGCTGTGCCATCCATCCCAATGTAATGTATTACATGCCTCTACATATGCAGTGCACGCAGAATAGCAGTTAACTCGTGGGGCTTTCTGTGTGATCCACGCTGTTGAGCCTCGCGCGCGACATGAAGTCTGATGTCTGAGTTACTGCAAATGTATGATGACGGATCAAACGTCAGTGTCGATAGGATTCTGGTTCTGCCTCTCTTCAACCTGACCTTCTCCTGTCCCGTGGCATTGTCAAAACCATTTTCTCCCCTGGTTCAGTTGGGTGTTTCTGGAAGACGCCCAAGGAGAACAACGCGACATTGGATTGGAGGTGCTCGGTCAGAACCGTGGGATTACCTATCCCTGCTGCAGAAAAACTGTGGGGGGACTAGTATCTGTAGGCCTACAGAAGAATACCCTTTAGTAATTGAGGGCAGGGTGAGTGAGCCGATCGGAAATCAGTTTGATGGCCTATTAGAGAAGAAATTATACAAGGAGTTGGCTACCAGGTTTGGCAACTCGATCATTACCTGTGAAATCAACCGGAGGCGTAAACCGACCTACTGGATTCTCCGGTTGCTTGAGCGTCACTCGATGGCCCTGGTCCCCACTGGACAGACCCGTGTGAAGGGTTTTTCGCAAGCCCTGTCGAAGGCCCTTCAGAAGTGGTTCACATTCTGGCCTCAACGCCCCCATCTTACTTCAGCTCATCTGGCTTCTTAAGTTGGCCGCAGCTACCTTGCATGCAAATCCTGGGGTGCATACACTAAAACACAGGCCTTCCTCCATAAATCAAGTTAAAAGCTCCTCTTTGTGTTGCACATACATACATACAGTACTGTAAGTACATACTCTAAGCTGGTTCTGTCCATACGGCTTGAAGTCACTGGTGCACACTCGCCGACGCAATACATACGTCTGAAGAACATACATGATGTGGGACCGGACTACTCAACGAGTTTCAAATATGCGAACCAGAGATATCGTTGTAGGTACATACGTATGTATGTCGGCAATATAGGGCCCCGAACCACCGCAGCTGAAGTTGATCCCATTGATGTCAACCTGGAACATCTGCAGATCCCTGAGCAGCCAGATAATCTCAACCAGAAATTTCTACCCAGGGTCCTAGACATCTACATAGTAGAATTTTCAAAACAGCTGGACTGGACCCTGAGTAAATGACGTCACCTAAAGAGTAGCTAGGG